ATAATGTATTTACACACGTACCTTGAAAAATTGAATAGCATCTTTTGCTTAGTAATCAGTCTTCGTCTTCGGAAGAAGGTTCGAAAAGTTATGCCAGCCATCGCTTAGGTTTGTCTACGCGCAATAGAACATGGAAGTGACAACGATAAACTATTACCACAATAAGGGCAAAGATTAATTAATGATTAGTAATGTACTGGGGGTGGGTTCGGTTCCTTCGGTTCGGTTCTGACCTAAAACCAAATACGGAACCAAAGTAAAAGTTCAGTTCGGTTTCGTTTCGGTTTGACACTCAAAAAAATCGCTGTTTGATCGGTTCGATTTGTTTCGGTTCGATTTCGGTTTTTTTCGGTTTTTTACTTAAAGTTCTTAGACAAAAACTGCTCCATAAACACAGAACACATAACTCTATTTTCTCGGAAGCCAACAATATTGATAATAACAACAAAAAATAGTGGTTGCAATTAGGACAACACTTTTTTTAACCCAATGGAAATCATCTAAGTCTATGGGGTAAATGCAATGGTACATTTACCCATCTATTGTTTTACTCCCTCCGTATCAATTTAATTGACCCATTTACTTTTCACGCAGTTTAAGACAATCACTGTAGACTTTATTAAAAGTAAGAGGTTTTTGGTACTGTGGCGACATTGTAGCGGTACTGTAACAGCACTGTAGCTGCTTTTTGAGTGGGATTCTTTCCAAAAAGGGAAATGGGTCAATTAATTTGATACCCCAAAAAAGGAAAGTGGGTCAAGTAATTTGATACGGAGGGAGTATATAGTAAAACACAGTTATGAATTAATAACATGTCACTCTATTATTGGTTAACAAAAACATCTATTATAATTATTTAAAAAACATGTCCTTAATTAATAATAGCACTATAAGAGATCAATTCAAAACTACGTTTTATACCAGTATACTACTAGGACTCCAATTTTATAAATACGATCAATATATTTTTTGGCTAAAAATACGATCAATATATATTAACTTTAACTATTATTAAAAAAAAAATTGCCTTTTAAAGTTAAAACAACTCCCAAATTACAATTTTAATTAAAAAGGCTATTCATATATTTTGGACGAAAATTCACATCACAAATTAAGTATCTGTTTGGTAACTCAGGAATTGGTTGAATCGGCTGATTCTGCAGAAATTTATGAAGTTCTGGACGAAGTGGCTGGATTGACCGATTCTGCTAGGGGTGGGCATAAAACCCGAACCGAACCGGTACCGAGCCGTCCCGTAATGGTACCGAACCGAATACCGGGTATTTAAACGGTTCTATAGATTATTTTTGTCCCGTACCGAAACCGAACCGTTTGAAACGGGTACGAGACCGGTTCTAGATTTTGAGAACCGAAAAATACCGGACCGAACTGTTCGAAAATGATGCATTTAAATTTTTTATAACTTTTCTATACCAATGGATCTCTTTTATAGACACAATTTTAATTTAAAGTCCAAGTATGTATTCACACTAGTGGAAAATTCACATTCTATGTCGGTTAAAATTGACCTTTAATGGCAGTTCTGACCCGACATAGTATCAAGGGATATAAAAAGTAGGGCACTTCTTGTATGGGTGAAGAGCTGTTAGCCTGTTACCAAAAGTTTTCCGTATCAGTTCGTAACTTTAGTATACTAACCGTTTTGAAAAGTCATCCCAGTACAGAGCAACTTTGATATCGGCTATAATTGAACCGGCATTAAATGTTCAAATTTTGAATCGACATTGCACAATTTCTTCTCCACAGTTTTGTTACATGTCCTTTAATCAACACTATTATTTATATAGGAATTAATTAAATATAAAAGGAAAACACAATATTTAAGAGAATCATGACAACAACATATTATTGATCTTACTTAGAATAGATACAATATTCTTACATAAAATCACACTTCATACCAACAATTACTTACAAAAGTTACATATCGCTTTAACATACTGCTTTAATAACATTCAATAAATTGCTATAAAATCCAACGCCAAAATTCATCTTGAGTGACAAAATGGGTCTTGATCATTGAATACCTACAAGCAGGGGCGGATCCAGGAATGAGAGGTGGGGTGGGCTAAGCAGTAAAAATTTTCGTCATTGCATACAAAAGGTTTAGCTTATAACTGATAGTTATTGAACTGAGTTTTTTTTCGAACTACTCGAGTTCAATCGTGATTTCGCATTTAATTTAATGACCAAAGCTTAACGAGCTTCAATCTCGAATACGGGCTAAATTTTAGTTTAAATAGTTTGTTTTTACAAAAAAAGCGGCCATTATTTTTTAGAGTTTGAATAGTTATTCAAGCTGAATTCGAGCATAGTCATGTTCAGTTCGATCTGGACTTGAGCATATTCATAACTTATAAATTATAGAAATAAACTATATACTACCTCCGACTTTTATTAAGACTAATTTGACTTTTCAAGTCAAAGAAGTTAAACTCTGAATGACTATGTATTTATACAATAAAATTGATAATATGAAAATGAAATGGAAATGTTCTTTGTTAAAAAGTTTATCATAAAACTATAAATTTAGTAAGTTTCACATTAATACATGAGTTAAAATGATGGATCAAAGTTTACTATCTTTGAGTAAAGAGTGAAAGATGGCTAAATAAAATGAGACAGAGGTAGCATATCTAGAATTTAAACGTTTTTAATGTGATTTATAATTTTATTATTGATTATTAAAGATTTTAGTATTTATTGATATGAATTAAAATACTTCTATAAAAGTATAAAACTAATAAGTAAAAATAGTCAATGTACATAAAACTAATAAGTATTCCCAATTTTCAAATTGAATTGAGATTTTGAATCCATTCTTACATGCCTAAACAGTAAATACATCGTTCTCTATTCTTTAATTGCATTATAAATAAATCATTTTCTAATCTTTAATTCTATCTTTAATCATTATAAATTTATAATAATAAATAAAAACTATTTTACTATCTACTGAAAAAATTCAATTAATAATCAAATAGAATTACAAAATTGGTAGGCTTGGGCTGAGCTAGACATTAGTTTTGAGGTGGACTGGAAATTAAACATATACCTATAATAATAAAAATAAATTGGGCTGGGCTGGGCTGGAGCCCACCCCTGCCCCAACATAGATCCGCCCATGCCTACAAGTTAAACAACAGAAGTAAGCACAACTAAACAATACTACCTCCATCCCGGTGGACTTTGCCATGTTAAAAGTAGGTGAAAAATAAGAATAATAAAAACTGTGTGGTTGAGGTTTGTGCAAAGGAGAGAGAAATAAGTAGAACCACAAATTAGCTGCTTTAATGAGAAAGTGACAAAATTTTTTGGAACAACTAATAAAGGAAAGTTGTCAAAGTCCAATGGGACGGAGGGTGTATAAAAGTGCAAGCACAAGTAAAAAAACTAGAACAACTAAAAAATGTAAACATAACAACTCAAACATAATACTTCGTACAAAAGTTTTCACCACCCTCTAAGAATTAGAAGACCCTATGTAGCAATCCTATGTCTAATAACTCATATCTTCCCTTTATAAGCACCATCATGAAATCTTTTGTACTCCGCATTCTTTTTGTCTTAAGAAAAATAATTTGAAAATTTACTGGAAGACATAAAACACCACTTTCATATTAATATGGAAAAAATTCCAACTGGAGAAATAAAATAATCCTCATTTATTAACGAAATAAAGAAAAACTTTATGAAAATAGTTAAAATGGTCATCTATTAGTACTTCAGCGAGAAAAACAATTTCAATCTTACTTTTTTTATTATTACAAAATTTAGAGCGAAAAATCAAAAATTACGTGATTGGTGAAAAGTTGACAGAAAGATCCATAGGCCGAAAAATAGGGTCACCATAATATTTACATTATATGGGGTAGTTGCTATAATGTTCATATTATATATAGTCGCTAATTGGCTATCTAAATCAATTTTAAACCTAAATCGATCAAACTTAATCTATATTTTCCTTAGGCACTACACTGAATGCAGTAAACCCGCCAATGTTTGCAATCTTTACAAATTCCTAAAGTCATTTTGAGATAGCATCATAGTAGTGGCTAAGGGTAGAAGGAAGGAGATTAAAGTTCAAAGCAAATGGTTGCATCAACTCATCAAGGCTATTAATGCATAAGGAGATTATGAGCCCGTTTGGAGAACTCTGTTTTCGGCTTATCAGGCTTATCAGCCAGCTTTTTCACCACACACGTAACTTTTACTTTCGCGCGCTGAATTGTGTAATAAGCCGAAAAAGTAAGGTTGGAGTTACTTTTCTGGCTGTATTGGCTGAAGTTACTGTAGAGGACCATTTTAGCTATTTTTACATATAATTTTTTCTTTAATTTATTAATAAAATATATTTTTAAAATATTTTTTTCTTAAATCAGCAGAATCAGCCAAAACAGCCACTCCAGCCAGAATATCATAAATTTCAGCAGAATCAGCCAAAACAGCCGATTTTGGTGCTACCAAACGGGCTCTATGTCTTACAAACATTTATAGGTTATATAATTGCAATGTATTACACCACTTGGCTACTACTAAAGAAACACATAAAATCAATATGCAATATGTAACAATGGCAAATTACAAATTACAAAGTTATATTAACCCCTGACAAATATGGACACTCAAAAAATACTTTTATAACTAAGCTATCAACTCCTAACACACATGAACATCAAATTTTCTATAGTGATAAGTTTAGAACTGGTTAAAATAATGATGAAAACTCCATCACGACACTCTTTATTTTCATTTCCCCCTGCTTTTATTAATAAGACTTAATAAAAGCACATGAAGCTTTTAATATTTCTTTTAAAGCACATGAATCTTCACACATTAATATTTATTAGGACTAATGCACTCATAAACAAAAAATAAAAATAGTAATAAGTCTAAGACCAAAACAATAATAATAAATCATATAAATCTTTTTTAAAATCATGCTTCTCATTTATCAACAAAGTATCATAAAAATATTCCTTTTTTTCAACATTCAAAATGCTATTAACAAGTTCTGTAAATAAATCATAACCTCTATTAATTTTATAAACATGACACCATTATATGGTATTACCGGGGCATGCCCCGGGTGTTACACTAGTTTTATTGGAAAGAAATAGAATTACAGGAAATACCGGAAACAAACATGAGGGCAAGACCAAACCCCTAGACATAATTACACATAATACTATAATTACAAGACTAAAACTTCGAAGAAATATTTCCACTAGAGCTACTAATTTTCGAGGATAATGTCTTTTAAATAGATAACCTCCCATTTTTATTCATCTGCGGAAAGGTTGGCGAACTCAAGTACTCATATACTCATATATTTTTATTCATCTGCTACCAAACGGCCTCTAAAACTTTATGATGTTACTTGAAGCAATTGTGAAAACAGCGCTATGCGCCCACCGTGCATCTAAACAGCCAGTGTTTACTCCGGGAAGCTCTGGGCCGCTATATTAAATTATCTAAAGGCAAAACTCGTGGGCAGCTTGACTAATAGGAAAAAACCCAGCTGGTGTTATTAGTGCATCTACAAGAACATCATCTGGTGTAACAGGTATGGTATCCAATATCTGCACTGAATATGACAAAGCAACTGCGAAACAAATAAAAAATGTTCATTTTTCGCCACATTTAAGTACAGACACAAACATAAGTGAGCGGGGGTATGGTGACATACCCTTCAGAGGTTGCTTCCACATTTTCTCTTTCACCAGTTCTTGATATTTTTTCAAGAAAGTGTCATAGTAGCTTCATCGTTATCACCATAAAAACACATCACAAACAGTTAGAACAAAGAGTACAAACCATTTAGCACCTGTGATTATTTAATTTATGAATGCTCATTTTCACAATGACAAGCATAAAAGAAAAGGATTCCAATAGAAATAGAAACAAACCAACTGAAATGAATAGCAACTCTTTGAAGTACATATATTGCAGGTTAGCCATCTGAAACTTACCCTCCACCCCGGCCTAAACGTCTTCCAGCTTTATCAAATCCAAGTCCTTCAGCAGGGAAAGTGGAGAAGCATATTAGAAGATAACGGCGATGTAGCTTAAGCTATAATCCCGTGATTAAAGAAAGAATTTACCAGGTAAAAGGAGCAAGTCAACAGGTTGATTTGCCAACAACACTGCAAAAAGAGAACTTCATTAAAATATATGATTAAAATATATGATGATTAAAGCAGAGAAAAAATATTTCCAAACACATCAGCTCAGTTGAAATTGCGATTAAAAGTAAAGTAAAACAAAGAAATTCTCCCCCTTAAACCTCGGCATCTTATTTGTTATTAGCAATTTTGAGTTTCTTCAATCATACTACGTATGATCTCTTTGTCCATCAAATCAGATACTGAATCATTAGTGTAGTTTCTATACCTGTTCCATGAGCCCGCACCCCACAACAAATAAAATCAATAATTCAATAGAACATATTATGTCTGTTATTGCCATTTTGCGAAAACTATAGCTAATACATCTTACAAATGAAAACAAAGAAGGTGAAAATGTACCATCTTCACGTTGGTTTCCCTCGTCATCAATCAGTCCTGGTTCCAAAATGTTCATTGAATTCGCTATTAAATCTTGAGTGCTTGAGATGTTCAGCATTCGCATATTTCTGTTACTATCCTCCACACGTGGAACATAGAGCTTCTTTTGATCTGCATAACCCCATCTTATTCATATTATACAATAACACAACATTTTACTTTGTTAGAGAACGTGCAGAAAATTCACACTAAAAAGAAGAAGAAAAAGCATTTGTTTCAGCAGCGCAAAAATCAAGCCACCATATCCTTGAAAGGAAAGCATCATATAATTTCTTATGCTATTGCAACCATTTAATGTTGTCTCATTGAACTAATAAGTTCAATTGAAAAGCTCAAAAGAGCTACTAAGAGCCTATTATTTGCTAACCCCTGTTTTCGAGTTATCATCCTTACGAAACCATTTTTATACCACAAAAAACTTTTAATTCAATGCACTGAATTTTGTAAACAGCATAATAAGTACGATTGAACAATTGAAGTTACTTTTCTTGCTGAATTTGCGTAAGAGGATAATTTTAGCTTTTTCCTTATAAGTTATTCTTTGTTTTCTTAATAAAATACAGAGTATATTTTAAAAATAATTTTCCCATAATTCAGCCACTTCAGCCATAATTGACGCATTTCTAGACGGAATCAAAATTAGTTTATCGATAACATATTCTGGCAAGTGTTCTAAGAAGCGTTAGGCTATCCCTAGGCAATAGTTAGGCTAGGAAGTAGTTTCTATGTGGGCGTATGCGGTGATCAATCAGGTCCTGGGCGAGGCTGAATTCAGATAACTGAGACCTAGAATCTAACTGAGCTTGGATGGTTTTTTAAAACAGTTATTCTAGCAAAATATCAATGCCACTAACGGTTCCATTTCTATTGCAAAAATTAAGAGAGCAACAGTGAGGGCGATAATTATGCAAATCCTTGTAGAATAATATAAAAAACACACCTTTCCTTTGCGTCTGAAGAATTTCTGACAGTATGGTTGAAGTATCAACTTCTCTAAGGGCGCTACAGCTAATATAAGCACAAAGCCTCTTACAATCTCTGAACCAAGGAGCTTTAAGTATTGCATTCTGTATTTCTTCATCTGGAATCAATCACAAATTAACCAATAAACAAATAGACACAGGTCTGTGTGAGGGCGAAAGTAATGGCATACCTTCTTGGGACCTGAGGGAGGGATCCATGGACTTTAAATCTTTTTTGAGTTTGGATCGAACAGCCTTCTTCTGAGCGAAGACCGCGTCTAAATCGGAGGCGCTTGAGCTCGGATTGGTAGTCATGGCTGCTCGAGTGAAGCACTGCCGTGGTCTGAGTAGGATGGTCGTGGCGGAGAATAATACTGGAGCGTATGGAATTGCAGCCTTCGAGCATATGCTTGGCAACCGACCTTTGAGTGGTGCTGCAATCGTACGGCACATTTTTCACCACTAGATTTTCACCCGTGCGTTGCACGGGATGAATTTCATAAATATTGTTTTCTCTTGACCCTTTAAAAGCATTGGAATTAGGTTTCATACATGGTATCTATGATGATCATATATAGGGGTTGTTTCGTGTTTGGGTTTTGATTCTGCTTCTGTTTCTTAAAAAAACAGAATCAGAAACAATTTTTCTAAGTTGATTTCAAAAACTTGTGTTTATAAGTAATTTACTGCACCCAAAAGCACTTCTGTAGTATCATCCAAAACACTACGATATCTGCCTCTGCTCTTTGAAGGAGTAGAAGGAGTTTTAAGAAGTAAATAAAAATAATCTCAATCAGGAGTGAACTCAAGCTGAGCCCAGCCTTCAGCTTTTTCTTAATTAAAGCAATAGTTTTTTTTTAAAAAATATGATAACCCCATCGAAAAATAATATCTAAGACATAAGTCTAACCCAACTATTAATGACACCCTAGATGATTAAAACTTTATTGAAAATAGTTCATGCGAACTCAAAGACGTAAAATAGTTATTGAGGGACTTTTAAAAGCAAATGCGCATTCCCCTCTTTTTTTTAGGGGCCAAAGGACACGGAGGAGTATTTGTATTTGGCGGAGTGGGTGAACATACTCGTGAAGGAAATGATCTTTACTTGGAAATGAAAGAATTCGATGTCATTAATGACCAAAATATTGCAGAATCAAAAGTGGTCCTAATTTACGGTCAGATGAATGAACCACCAGGAGCTCGTATGTCATAAAAAGTTAGGCGCATATTCACACCTCCGCTAAATCATGAACAATGGAATGAAGCATTTTAATTTGCTTAAATGAACAGAAAAGAAAGAAAGATCATAATTCAAAAGTTCATAAGTTCTAGCTATATGTGACTTATCATCACTCATGTACCCTTATTGGCCCTTTACAGATTTTCACTCATCCAAATAGAGTTCCAGCCATCTGCAAAAATATCCGACACAAATTTAAAATGCTTGCACTAAACTGGAGTAGAAGTCAAACTGACATAAGCACACATAGTATTCTAAACCATAACTTAAGCCATAACAGAATTAAAAATAAAGCTTCCTAAGAAGATAAATGGTAAAGCTCAAGTTGTTCAAATACTTACTTCATATTCTGCACAAGAGTAGAGCCTATTGCATCTTCTGTGAAGCACTGAAAACCGCAAAAAGACAACTAAAATGAATCATCCTTTAAGGGATTAGATGTACCTCAACAATCCTTCTCCTGGAATGAAATGCTCCTTTAAGGAATGAGATGTACCTTGACAAACCTTCTACAGGACCATATCACACATCATCTTCTTGGGCATAAAATTCATTAACTTTTAAAAGAGATACAATTCAGTTTATGCCAGCACCACCATCTTTATTATTAAATGATCCTTAACCCTGAGAAGATCATGGTAATCAAAACTCCGGATGATATCTAAGTCATAATCAATAGTTTCTTTTCTCCCCAACCTCTTGCTGCTTATGTAAAAAGAAAAGCATATTGGATTAGACCATCCATGTGTAAGTAAATCAGGTAATACTATAAATATGAAAAATAAAGATACAAATCCAGAGATTGAATTTGTACAATGCCATATCCTATATCACATGCATTTTTTTAACAAAATCATAAACTGCCGTACTGGGAAATACCTCTTCTATGCATAAGCTCCCATAGTGGATACATTTCCCGATACTGCCTTTAAAGCAGTAAAAAGAATTGGAATACATGAAGAAAACTTGAGAAATTTTCTGAATTGTTGAAAAGTTTATATTTGTATATGATGGAGCAAAATGCTTATTTAAAAAATTAAGAGTAAACTAACAAAAATGCCCACGAGGTGAACCCCCCCCCAGCAATTAAGTCTCCAATTGCTATATTTCATATATATCCAAATAGACTTTACTAAAATCTTATTAATATTTAATGATATGCCCTTTGACAGCTTGAAGCACAGGTGAGAGGTTTAGAAGGAAGGGATTTGATTCTTTCAGCTAGATCTGCTAAAGGTGATCCCAAGATAGATCCTGCTATAGAGAGTTGCACCCCTTTGGAATTGATAGAAATGAAAACAGAATAAGTACTTGAGCTTATGAAGAAGATGTAGAGAATAGTATCCCTTCAGAAAATGAAAGAGGACTTTGCAGAACGTAGCATTAATAAAGGAGCCTAATAACCTATTATCTTAGAATTTTTAGCCTATTATCTTAGACATATATAGTCTCACACACCTATATATATGACTCTTCTAAAAAAAATTATGACTCTTCTTCCTTTTTTAATGATGAGATATTCTTTCAAAGAATGTTGAGTGTATATTTGAATACAGTGGTACACCAAAAACATATCTTAAGCAGACATTTATTTTTACATTTTAACCAACACTTTTTATGTGTCACTCAAAATATAACTCATAATAACTCATTTCTTTTAACTTTTATAGTTCCTATTTTATCCTTTTAACTAATGTAATTTGACTGAAATTGGCACTGATTGACCCACATATAGCTATGGCATCCAACCTATGTCTCAAGTTGTTTCATCAAGCAACCCTCAAAAGAAGATCACCTCAAACATTTTTTATTTGGGCTATGATTTGAGAACACTTAGATTATAAGTAGTGAAAAATACAATTTTTAGTACACGTGATATGTAATGTTGATAAGATCAAGAGAAAAAGGAAAAGTTACCTTGATAATGTACAACCTCTTCTTCATTGTAAAAGAGGTTGAATGTTGGATATAACTTCTGCTATTCAGAATACCAACTATTTGAAAAGAGTATTGCCTATTGGGGTTATTCTCAAGGCTGGCTGCATTAAGAAAATCCTTTACAGCTCAGAATTTGGCAAATAAAACAGCCTGGCTCCATTAATAATAATAATAATAAACTTATCAACCGAAAAAGAACATCCATAGACACCAATTTAAGAATACCTTCTCTTGGAATGACCTGGACTCTTTAGAGCGTAACATTTCAGGTTGAAATTAATGAAGTCAATTCATGCCAATAGCCACCATCTATTACTAAAAGATCCTTGACCCTCTAAAGGCAATTAAGAGGATATAAATTACATTACACTTATGAGGTAAAGATTCATGTACTTTTAGTTGATTCTTGATTGTTTTAGTGCAGCAAAAAGGTTATTAATAGTTAGTAAAAAGAGTGAAAAGATGCAGGTGATGTATATTTCTTCTATTGGCTGCACTAATTGACTTTGTACTGGTTCGTTTAGTTGATTCTTGATTGTTTTTGTGCTGCAAAAATATTATTAATAATTAGTAAAAAGAGTGAAAAGATGCAAGTGACTTATATTTCTTCTATTGGCTGCACTAATTATGAAATAAACCAAATAAAGACTAAAGTTCTGATAAACTCTTAACTTAAAGAACACAAAATTTCAGGAACCAATTAAAGACTAAGTTTCTTAACAACTCAGAGTTACAATTATACCTTAAATCCCACACTCTATTAGACCAACTTTTTAAAATGCTGGAATTCAGCACTTACTAATCTGCTTTCATATACTCCGTATAATATAATAACCCAAAATCAAAGCGTGTACTTGCAATGATGAAGAACATATACTGCATAAATGAGAACAGACACTAAATGAAGCCAATCTTAATATAAAAGTGAACATATTTAAAAGCAATAAATACTTTTTTTTTATTTTTTAAAACTGAAAAAGAAATTAAGAAACATATTTAAAAGAATACACTCATCAAACCAGAACCTTATAAAATATCATTGATATCTGTGAATATTTTACTCACTTATTCTATATAGTTCTTGTGTGCTAAATACATGTGGCATATTAGTGAGATTATGTCCATAAAATTTTAAGTGGGTATGTTAAAAGTTTTAACATGCTCAGTCATATTTATGTACTTCTAAGTCTGATGCTTTCACTTTTTATTTTAAAAATCCAAATTTGTATTTGATTTTAAACCCAAACGGAATTTCTTTTACATTTGAGTTTCAATTCAAAAACCAAACCACCACAGTTAGTCTTTAAACAATTGTTCAAAAGTCAAAACCAAACTGATCCAGATTAAACAAACTTAATGCTAAAATATGTTAGAAGAACCCCCGGTTTGTCATTATGGAGTTGAAAAGGCTTAAAACAACAAATTTTAGCTTAAAAAGATTGTTAAAAATCAAGCAAGCATCATTGCAAACCCTCTGACAAAGAGCAGAAATACAGGCATAGGTTTAAGTAGTGAAAATTGCACTTTTCACTACTTATAATCTTAGTGTTTCCAAATCATAGACCCAAAAGGAAAAAAAAATTGCATGTTTACATGCATGAGAGCCACATGTTGAAGTAATACATGTTCATGATTATGTTTTTAGGTGTTTGAATTTGGATGATAAGGCTACTGATTTTCAATTAAAACAAATTGTACAGATCCATAGTTTTACTCCTTGAACCAAACTGAAATGGATTTTATACCTTACATTGGACTTCTTTCATCCTCGAAAGGTGTTTGGAGGTGTAACCCAGCAATTTATAAGTACTATGACTTGCATAAGTTGCATCAGTCTCTGAGTTTATTCACGAATAGAGAAGTGGTTTTGCATTTGATTTTAACCCCAAACAAAAGTCCAATTCACAATGTTTACCATGTTTATTAAGAGAAAAAAAACTCCACTTTTGATTAAAAGTGGAGTTTTTCCATAATACCAAAACTGCATTTTATTGAGATTTGCAAATCTCAATGAGAAATGCGCGCTATAGGAGTAATGAGGATCCATACACCTAACAACCTTATAGATGATATGCCAATTACGAAGGTAAGCTGGGTCCTATACTTAGAACGATGATTATGAATAAACAAAGTAGGGAGAATTAATTTAAATAAGTACTCCGTAGTAGATACTCCGTAGTATGTAACATTCATTTGGGTGCTTCCTAAATTTCTCTAAACAATTTATGTGAAAAAAGTAGGGAGAATTAACTACCTGATCATCTTGGCACCTATGCATACTGAATAGGAATCAAAATAAGCTGTGGTTTAACATATTAAGTACTGAATGAGACTTATATTCACATTATACATGACAATTAACCAAGCTGATCCAGGCTAGGTTTAAACCTAGCCTTTTCAAATAGGATGATGAATAAGAATAAACAAAGTATTTACAATATGCTAGGAAACCCCTGTTTTTTAATCTGTTGATTAACTAAGCTGATCCAGGCATAGGTTTAAACCTAGCTTTTTAAACTCCATTTCAACATATTTATATTGACATTAAACATGACAAATAACCAAGTTGATCCATGCATAGATTTAAACATTAAGTTGCTGAATCAGACTTAAAAGTACGTGTACATAAATATGAGATATATATTTAGTTCCGATAGGTTTAGTTTAATTAATTGGATCTCCAATATAAGTCAATTCCCCTTTGGCTTAATTTCATCAAAATGATCTATGCTCCGGCTCTTTTGGCTAGAAATGCTCTGGTTTTAGATTTCTTGTGATACATGATGTACCTACTTTTAAGCATAGAATGAAATTCAAACTCTATGAAGAAGACAAAAACCTGACTAATCTACCCATATAACACTAAGACATTGGATTTTTCCGTACATGTGACTATGATCATATTCTTCTATCCAATGACCTTGTTGGTTAAATTAAATAATTAATGATATTTATCTATGACCAAATATGTACTGAGAAATGGATAGTATCATATTTAAAGAAATTTTCAGTGCGCAATTGTTTCATACGACCTCACCTCGGAGTCGCTTATCTGAAATCGAACTGATGCTATATATCTCCTCCTCCTTTCGGCAAAACAATTCCTGCCGATATCATCCAGGCTTATCTCAGGGAACACAGAGCCTCTAACAGTATTCAAGAACCTCTAGCAGGATTACTCTACAATTTCGGCATCAACTGCCGATCGGTTTGTTTGGGGAGAGAGATGAGGCCTCGACAATTAGAAACCGATTGAGAATGAAGTCTGAGCGGGAAAATGAGGCTCCTCCAAAGTAGTGCAATTATGTAGAGTGATTTCTTCCGAGCTTTTCAACTGGGATGCATTAGGATGACCGAAGAAGAGAAGAGGTGTTGATATCATTTTCATGTGCGAATGAATCTGATATCAATTAAGATGATGAAATGGATGGAGAATATGGATGAGATTTCCAGAGAGGAGAAGAGCCCATGACCTGCTCAAATGCCCTTCTCATGCGCTCAAGAAATGGAGGAACGAATTGACGGGCTGCGGTTGTGAGAAATGGAGTGAAGGACTGATTTTGCGGTGAGGAGGAGAAAGGACAATCTTTTACCAAGAGTAGCAGATCTAATTTTGATCGTGCGGTGGAGATGTGTTAGAATGATGAGCGGGAAAATGAAATTAGTAAAGTAGTGCAATTATGTAGAGTGATTTCAACTCGATCAAGAGATGTTCCATCTAATAAAAAAGAAATTTTAAGTAATTATTGAGCATATAAAATGTCGAAATAGTGATTTTTACGGATGTTCTTAGGGGTTTTCCCCTAGATATTACTAAGTTACAGCAGATTTCAAAAAAAGTGACTACTTTTAAATTTTGACAAACATGTGATCAACAAAGTCATATATTAGGAAAAGATTACAAAGTTTAACTACTACTACAGTGACATTCATAGTTACACGCCATAGTGACATGTTACATAGTGACTTCAACCATGACCTCCTCCTAGGTGACCGTTGCAGGCCGGAGACCGCTGCCGGAACACCCACCCAGAGGGACACACAAAAGTGACACCATCACAGTGACACCGCTAGTTGCCTAGTGACACGGATTTTTCAGTGACGCTGCCGCCACCCTCATCAAAACCGACCACCGGAAAGTTTCTCGGCGCCTCACTGCCACCCCTGCCCATCCACCGCCGCCCCTGCCCATCCACCGTTGCCATCCCTACCGCCTGCCCTGTCCCTAGCAGCCTACTCCGGCCCCTAGTACCCCCTCTCCCTAGCTTTACGCACCAGTCCGTATTCAGCCCCCTTCCCCTCCCCTCCCCTAGCCCCACGCATTAGATCCCCACCCATCCCCTGCTCCCTACTCCGTGTCCCCAGCACCCTCCCCAGTCCTTTGTTGAGGCCCCTTTCCGACATCAATGACGACGGATCCGGCACCAGAGACTCCAAATCGGAGTGGTGGTACATCGAGTTGGCGATCCGGCACCGGTAGGCAAAAATTGGAGTCGATGTCCATCGAAGACGGCAGATCCGGTGAAGGCGGCACTCCATCGAGGAAGATAGATGCAGCGGAGGCACGTCCATCTAAGAAGACGGAGAAACTACCGTCCGATTTCAGATGGGGAAAACCTAACTGGTTTCAGTTGCAAGCAGTCGAAGAAGAAAGGAGAAGAAGAAGAGCACGGGACAGAGGCGACGGCAGGAGAGCAGAGGCGGCAATAGGAGAGCGGCGGCGGCGCTAAGAGCAAGGCGGAGAAGGTTTGCACTAGGTTTCTTCTTTATTGGTGGCAGCGTACAGTTTAGATGAAGGAGGTAGGTGAAGCGTGAATTGGGCCGGAAGCATTTGACTGGTCACTATTTTGTGAACTCAAAAATTAGTCATATTTGGGTCCATGTAAACCTTAAGGGTAATATTCTGGCCATTATTTCATGTTTTTACTTGAACTGAAATTTGCAGGTCTACTTAAATTTGGTCTGATATCATAAATATCTAATCTCTATGTATTTTATAACCATGGAAGTCTGATTTGACCTAATCTGATCTAGGACTCAAAAACCGTCAAAGTAAAAATATCCTAATACACGCTCTATTCTTCCGACCCTTTACTTCATCCTAAGTAATTCTAGACATTGTTTGGGACTCTCAATTGGTTCACTTGAAGATTAAAAAGGGCAATTTTGTTGGATGGTTTAGTGCTATATATGCCAAGCATGAACACATCAGTAGAAGGCAAATATGAAGTTCTCTTGTTGATTTTTCTACTCAACACAGAGAAGCATGGATGGTGGGGGTGATTTCAATGCTATACCTAACCATAGTGAGCATATGGGAGCTTTTGTGCCTAACCTATGTAGTATGCTAGAATTCACAGATCAAATCAAGGTGGATATTCTCAGTAAAACTTCATTTGATCACAGTCCCATTTTAATACAGTGCACTCATGTTTTCCTCTTCTCGTCCTCGGGCCTTCATATTTCAAAATATGTTGTTCTCACATTCTACTTTTCTAGTCAAAGTACCTCTCGGTTGAAATTATATATCATTTTGGTGGGGGAATGAGGGGTTTAGTCTCTAAACTCAAACGCCTCAAAAAGGATTTGAGAATATGGAATAACGAGGTTGTTGGTAACATTTTTTCTGACATCAAGTTCTGTAAAGAGAAATTGTTAAAGGCTAAACTGATTTTGGAAAATGATAATTTATGAAATTAATTTGGATGATTGGTCCCATAAAATAGCTATGTTGATAAGAGAACATCACCTTCACCCTATTGGGCTGCCACATGGCATGGCAATTGTTTAAACTTTTGCAATTCTTATAACTTTTTCATTTTTGATTCAATTTTTTCAAAAATTATATTAATATTTTTTATGATCTTTCATATGGTACCAATATTGAATATGTAAAATTTAAAAAAAAAAACAGCTAATGATAAATTTAAGAAAAACAAGATTTTTTTTTATTTTTTTATATGCAATATGGATACCATTGGGAAGATAATAAAAAGTTATTAAATTTGATATATTTTTGTGAAAATCAGATTATATATAAAAAAGTTATAATGGTTTTAAGAAAAAAGATAATTGGAGTGCCAAATGGCATGAATTGTATGGTGAGGGTGATGTTCACCCTCCTTAGAGGGGGTGAACAAAATCGGACTCTGTTGATAAGGACGGTGATTCAAATGCCCATTTCTTTTACTCCTTTGTAAAAGTCAGGAATAAAAAAAATCTTCTATTACTAGCTCTACAGGGCAGGTGGTCATTGATTTACCTCGGATTGGCCAAGAAGCCGTGGATTTCTTTTCTAAACTTTACTCCATGGAGGATAATGCTGATGCCAGTGAGGTCTTGCAGTTTATTCCATCTTATTCCATCATTGGTCACTCTAGAGGACAACAATATGTTGATAAGTATTCCCGAGGAGGAGGAAGTCAAAAAAGCTGCTTGGGATCTTAATCAAAATGGTGCTCCAAGTCCTGATGGTTTCAATGAAAAATGGTTTAAATAAAATGTGATGAATAATATGTAGTAGAAGATTGTGGTCCAATGATATCATTGTGTCACTCTTAAAAAAATGTTCAAATCTCATCTAGGGGTATGAAATTCTTTTTGTTTGCATTAATTTTTGTTGTTGTTTGTGACAATCTAGCTCGATCTTATATGAATACCTAGAAAATTATTACTTTATTTAGGATGTCAAGTAATACATACTCAACCAACACATAGATAAGAGAGTTCATTTCAGTCAAAATAACTTTAACTCTTGTTCAACATTAAAAGGATAAATTTGTAATTTGCTTTATTAACAACATTACAAAAGTTTATTTCATTCTCAAAAACAATATTTTAATCTGTTTAACAAATTTATTATGAAACCTTTCAAATACTAGATATCACATTGAAAAAGCTTAATGATAAAAAAACTACTCTTTCACTAAAGCTTTGTCGAATGCACATTTTCAACAAGTTATGCAAAAATCATAAAGATTATCACCCACTACCACATGTAATATGTGCTATTGAAAGTCTGGATATGTTATACAACACCATGCTTGGCAACAATTAAAATATACTCTGTATTTAGAGACTCCGATGTCTATACCCGGACGTAGCCAGGATATGTTCGAAGGGGGGCGGGGTGAAATTAAAAAATAATAACATACAAATACAAATTCAATAAGCATTAAATAATGTATTAGTATTCACTAAAACCTCCAAAAATACATGAGTAATCCTCCCATTCATCTCTTCTAATCTAACTTCTAAGAGCATGTTCCATTAAAAACTTTTGAATTACGCATATAAACTTTACTTGGCAGGTCATTATAAGGAAATTTAAGTGATGACACCCAATATATTTTGGTAACCAAATGGTAAGAAAAATCATATGAGGACTACCTTTGTAAAAAGAATGTACGACATTGTTTAAATTAGAGTGCCAAAAGCTGAGAATACTCTGAAGATTTCTTTGAGACATTTTAAAGCTCAAACATTATTCTAAAAATACTTTTGAGGAAATCACTCTCATGTGATTAATCATTAATTATAAACGCATTAAATGATTATTCATCAAACTTTAAAACTTATTTTAGAAATAAGCATTTGCAACTTGAAGACCACATACTTTTGAAAAACATGATCATTGATCTTATGCTAAATCAGTGTTTGACCACCGGTATCTAATATTGGAATCATCAAATTGATGAGGGGCCCTCCCAGCAACTCAAGATTCCAAACATAAAATACCGACACTCAACACTCTAGAAAAATCATGCAACTTACGATAGTGACATACTGTAAAGCATTTGAATCCACTACTTAAGAATTTTCGAAATCCAAGGTAAAGCTTGAACATTTTACACACAAAATTTAAGCTATAACTCATAACTCCTCTAATTTTATTTTTCTTTGAAAAATAGACTAAGTAATGTAAATAGCATGGGTTTCAAAAATCAATTGATAATTAAATAATTAAAATGCATAGCAAACTGATTTGTATGCTTATGAAAATTCTTCATCCCATGTAATTAACTCAATTACATGTGATACTTAAAAAATATTAGACAAACTCATTATTATTGTTTTTTTATTTAAAAAAAACAATAAATTAATGAGTTTATTGTTTTAAACTCATTATTATTGTTAGCCGACCCCAATATCGTTTAGGACTAAGGCTTGGATGTTGTTGTTGTATTTAAAACAAATATAACCAACAAGACTTAGACCATGAATAAACTACATGCTATATAAAAAGACAGTTCGAATATCACTGATTCTGACGTAATTCAATCATGAGAAAATAAATCATGAGAAAATAAATACTATATGACACTTTTTTTTAACTCGGATCTTAATCATGAATAACCTCTATGTATGAGAAATACTTGTTATGAAAGATCATTAGAGGCTAAAATGGAAAGTTGCAAATACGGAATTATGAGAGGTATATGACTAGAATGATGGTGTTTTTGGATAACAACTTAGTCCTTCTTATATGAAATAGAAGACCTAACTCAACGATATATGCACTCGAATAAAATTTAATCTGCATAACTCGTAGTAACATAGAGGTTTTACGAGTTGAGTACACATTACTCTTACTTGACTTTTCTATGTAGCTCATACTAACAACGTTCAAACATATTTTCACATAGATAACTCTTAACATCATTAAGTACTTACTTGGAAGATGACGAGCACGTGTACGGTGACAAATGAAGTTATGGGACAACCTGGGCTCTGATACCAAATTTGTAATGCCCCTCTCAGGGTTAAAGGAAACGTTACACTAACCTACTACTTTTAAGAATAAATTGTAATATAACGGCCGTTTGTTTAAGAAATAACCCTGATAAAATCTCAAACATAACTAAAATATAACTCCAAATAAAAATTCAATAAAATCTAGTCATCACCCGTAAATGTGATAACCACCTGGATCCAGGAATTTATTCAAACATCAAATCCTCAAATAAAATAAAATAATAATAATCTCGTTATTATAACACTGAAACATTGAAACAAAATAATATCTAGCTAGAAGCCACCAAGGTCGTTCCCGTTAACTCATCTTGGCACGCGTTCCACTCCCTCATCATCTTCCCAGGCCTTGGCCTTATACATGCGAAGAAAGAAAACTGATAAGCTTTACACTTAGTCACTATGGCTCCACAAAATATCTAGAAGTCTAGGCCAATTTATCAATAGATAAATTTAGGCTATAAGCATGCACTGAACAAATAATTAACACATAACTTCTCAAATACATTCTGAGGGAGATCTCAAAAGGAAAATATTTTCTAAAATAATTTCTCAGAACTGCTGAATAGATCTCAAAATTTCTTTCTCAAAATTTCTCGGTAAAACTTTCTGAAAGAGATTTCAAAACAACTTTCTGTAAAACTTTATGAAAGAGATCTCATTAAACTTTCTGAAAGAGATCTCATTAAACTTTCTGTAAAACTCTTTGTGGCTAATTTTACTCTGTGGGCCCGTGATATGTACTCAAAGGCGCCAATCCGACAGCTCAGGGGAGCGACCCACCAAACATATCGGACTATCTGAAACTGAAAAACTGATAACCTGAGGGAACTTGTTCCCGAGTACATATCACCTGATCTTTCACTTTAAATATTAGTTCTTTTTATGGTGGTGACGTTTGATTAAAAACATCATTAAATCTGAAAATAAAAGTACTGACAAAATTTTGACTATGCCAGATAATAAACATTACTTAATACAACAAATAAAATAACCCAGCAAATAAATCACCAGGTTCACATAATAGCACATAGACTAAAATCATCTATTAAAAGTCAACCAAACTTTTTTCTTTTATTTGGTTGAACAAACATGTACAAGTGGTAGTGAACTTTCGTGTTAACGGCTGAACTCAAACTACTCAAATAATTGTGGCACCTTGATAACGTCTTCCGGTAAGCTCTTCTTATAGTCTTTAATTGAATGTAATAATTTATTAGAACCTTACTTTTAAAATAAAGCAAATCATCTTGAGAAATTATGCTACTGCTAAATGAATCATGTACGCATAGTGTACATGAGTCCGAGCCTTAAAGATTCATGATAATCTACAAATCTGGGCTGGACATAAAAATGAAATTTTACAAATTAAAGATCCAAATTAGGTACTCCGTATTAATTTCGTAAATGAATAAACAAGATTATGCTTAGCTTGGTAAAAATCGAAACCTGCCCAAATCTAACTTTTGAGTATATTTTAGTGCATTCTTTTAGTTGAATTTATAAAAGAATTCCAGAGTGAAACTATATACACGGTAATCCAATGAAACTGCTCCAGTTTAACTTTAAAGCTATGCTTTCCAAAACAAATATGCTTCCAAAACTGTACGTGAATTCCTTTTAAACTTAAGAGAGTTGCATCAGCCAATTTCAGGTACGATTAAGTTATAAAATAAATCCATTTTATTAAAACTCATGTGCTGTAAGGTTGGTAAACAAATAGAACAAAAAAATGTCCGTCTAGCATTCATTGAACGAAGGTTGGAAGCACTCCTTCAAATATAAATCATGATGAAATTTTCAATTCTTTTAGTTAACAAATCATTATAAAATCAAACCAAAGAAAGATTTGAGTATTGACTTACAAGTTTGAAACGTGGATTCAAGGAACGCAAGAGACATGTTTTTCTATAAAGCTGATATATGTATCTACTTAAATCTTTCTAGGGATTTAGTATAAAATAGATTTATTTGGGCTAAAATAACTAATTTGGGTCTCTAAGTCTATTAAGAATTACTTGTCACCCAACTGAAAATAATATATTTTCTTCCTTTCGGAATAAACTCATTAAACTTTAGAACATTATTTACTTATTCATTTATGTTTTCTAGAGCTTACTGATTGAGTTACCTGCCATAACAATACATGATAAAGCAATCACATTATTCACAAAATAAACTTATTTAGCTGACTAAATAAATAAAATGATTAATATAACTAGCTCGTTAAAATTGGGGTGTTACAATTCGTGCATAGCGCGGGTGAATTACTAGCAAAACATTTTACTAGAAGAACATATTTGAACAAGGCATAGTGCGGAACAGAAGATGTCAATTCCCAAGCATTGCTTAACACCTTCGTTCGTTAGCTTGACATTCTAAATCTGGATACGATAATACCCAAAAATGACTTATTATGTCATGCCTATAAAAAAAGTAAAAAACAATATGTCATTATCGCGTGTTGGTTTGTCGTTCAAAAAACATGTTTAGCTGTGGTTAACTTTACGGGATTGTGTTTAGAGTAATCAATGATAGATGAACGGACATTGAAACAAAAAATGTTGTGTATAAAGAAGTGTTTCATAACATTTAATATTCAATGTAGTGCGTTTAAAATTATATTTATACTGTGTCACTGCATGCTGCTTACTATTTTATGGGCTAATAAAAATTTGTGTACTACTCCGTAATCATGGATAAATCGTATTAGACATGTTTCATGTTACATCAAATTTTATACACATGATTATAAATAAAAAATCCGTAATCATGGAAATTAAAACCACATGATTATCCGTAATCATGGAAATTAAAATCACAATTTCTTTTATACACATGATTATAAATAAATCGTAATTTATTTTTTTGATTGAAGTTAATTATAAACGTGAAATTTCACCAACCATGCATCGCACATGTGTTCTACTATTCTAGTAGTCTACTTAGATGAGAGGATATGTCTGAAAAAGCTCTCTAGGGAGACTACACAAAGGGTAAGTATTACTATTGACACATGGACCTCTACACAGAAGATCAACTACATGTTTATGACTGCTCATTTCATAGACCACTGGTGGAAGCTTCAGAAAAAGATTATTTCTTTTGTCCAAGTCACTTCTCACAAATGGGAGTACATTGTTAAGGTTCTTGAGAGTTGAGATGAGAACAGTGTGGGCTAAAAAACTTCTTTTTGTCACTCTTGATAATGCAAGCAGTAATGATACAACAATATGATTGTTCTAAAAATGAAATTATTTTTCTGGTTGCATTGGCTGAAATTATTCATTTTAGATATTTTCATATATATAGTTATTTATTTTATTAATATATTTTTTCACAAATCAACATAATCAGTCAATCCAGACACTTCATATTAAATTTCAGTGGAATGACCAAATTTTGTTTGCCCCTTTTGAAAATCCTTCTCACAAAAAACGAATACGCAACTACCGTACTACCAATGAGGTTGCTATGTGGTTACTGGTTAGTTCGAACCATTTAAGACCATGCTATAAAAAGGGCAGTTTCAAAATCCATCGCGGGATTAATTGTTTTTGGCGTCAGGCAGCTCAGCTCATGTTCTTTCTTTTTGATCCGACGATTTCAGTATGAACAGTAGTACCAGAGGATACAATAATGGCAGCAAGTGAAAGACTTGTTTTCGTTTTGTGGTTGATCATTTGCGTAAGAACACGCACTTACGGCGAATCTTCGACGTGCCTGACGGTGTACGAAGAAGGCGGTGCCCCGGCGGTGTTTCAATCTCCGAAATGCCCTCGCTGGCAACTTCCGAGCTACGGTTCCAAACGGCGGTATCAATCTCCCACAGCCGCTTGTCAGACGGCACTGCATCAAGGTCGTCGCAAGCAGCAGGAAGATCGCGCCATCTGTGTTCTAGATATCCACGTTCCTTTCCCCGGTAAAATATCCTTCATTGTTTTGTAAGGTTTTTTCTGATCTGAGAGTAGATTTTACTATGCACCATTCAATTCGATTTTGATTTCAAACTGAGAAATAAGCTCGTATGTAATTGGGGATTTTTTTAGAATTAGGAAGACTAGGTCTTTGAAGTAATTCAACTAGCCCAGGCAGAAACCTGCAGGTCAAACCTGGTATAACCCAGTATTTGCCTGATATTGCATTTGAAAATTGAAATGACACGTTTTTTGACGTTTTTGTTAAGGGAAGACAGCCGGTTGTCAAATAATAATGCTCACAAGCTGTTGCTTGTTGTAACTATTTTCCTTTATTTTTGCAGGCCAAAATGGTATCACGGAGGTGACAGTTGGTATTATTGGAGTGTTTGATGGCCATAAGGGTGCTGAAGCAAGTGAAATGACCTCAAAATTATTACTTGAGTACTTTACAGTACATATGTTCTTTCTTCTTGATACAACCTTTTCTATCCTATTGAGGAAGCTGAGGGGATGGCTGCCAAATGGAAGAGGGAATAATAATGTATTTCAGAACCTGAAATGGGATGAAGAATTGGGTCATCATCAGTTGAAATTTGGGCGGTAGTCCCTTCTCTACGAACCAATTCAGTTACTGCTCTTATTTTGGAAATTCTTATTCTGCCGTTTGTAAAAATTCAGGGTTACCATAGATTTAAAGTTTTAAACACTTCGTCGAATATACTTTTTAACTTAAAAGTTATGAATATCCTTAAATTAAATCTTTCTTATCTTATATATAGGTTTAAGCTGAGTTTGTCATCAATCTTTGATGAATCCTTTCCGTTACAAATATTCAAGGAGGCAGTGCTAAGAGCAATTAGCGATATCGATTCCTCATTTTCAAGGGTGAGTCTTCAGTGATTTCTAGTCCACTAACCAGAAGTCTGAATCTTCTACTGCTGGTTTTTACTGACATTTACTTTTTGACATAAAGGATGCTTTCAGAAACAACTTAGGTTCTGGATGTACTGCCACAGTTATACTTTTGGCAGTAAATCAAATTTTTGTGGCCAACATTGGTGATTCAAAGGCATTTTTGTGCTCTGAGGAGTACAAAAATTCAACAGAGGCTCGAGGTATGAGTTTATTGGGAAGGTGATTTAGTAGTGACTTCTCATCTTAATTTATATATGATGCTTCTGTATGAGGATGATTCTTGGTGTGGTGGTGCCCAATGATATTTGATCATCCTTTATTATGGTAAACTGAATACTTACTCGAATGACCTGGTAAACTGCAGCTGCATTATTGAGGATGTATCGGCAGACAAAGATTGGTGGGATTTTTCAGCCCTTCAGAAATTATCGCACATTTGAATCAGTAGCTTCTGACGGATGGTCTTTTTTTACTGCTAAGGAGTTGACTCAAGATCACCACCCAGACAGGGATGATGAAAGGTCTAGAGTAGAATCTGCTGGGGGGCATGTTTCTAAATGGGGTGGTGTAGCTCGGGTTAATGGTCAGTTGGCTGTTTCCAGAGCAATCGGAGATGTCGACCTGAAAAGGTACGTTCTTTAGGGCTCTATTTACAGGGTTAGATATTTATGTTTTCAGATTTGTATTCTTTGACGATTTTCCTTATAATTTGAAAAGTAAGCTCGATTTGTGCACAGCAGTTATTGAAGTGACTAATCAGTATTTTATTTTCATATGATCTTGGCAGTTATGGTGTTATATCTGTTCCTGAGATCACCGACTGGCACCCTTTGACAACAAATGACAGTTACTTGGTGGCTGCATCTGATGGTGTTTTTGAACAGCTAAGCCCACAGGATGTCTGTGACATATTGTCGAACTTACATGCAGATATCACTGTTAAACCAGAACTAAATTCTTCTTGCATGTATTCATTAGCAGAGTGCATAGTAAATGCTGCTTTTGAAAAGGGAAGTACTGATAATATGGCCGCCATAATACTCCCATTTAAGTTTAGAGTGCCTTTGAAAACTCTGCCTGATGAAAACTGTGATGGATTTGGTATATCTGGTTGCTCAGCTTCAGGACAAGAGGGTTATTCCATCACACAGTCAAGTAAGTTGCACTAGTTTTAGTTCATTGATCATATGTTTTTTTTTTTCACCGAGACCTGAGCATTGTAGACAGGAGATTAGGAGAAGACTTTATGCTCCCAAATAGACATTATCCAGTGACAAGGCTCTAATGGATTTTCAATGCATCCACTTTAATCCCAATCTATAAGATCATGCTAAAAATTACTAGTATATGCGAAGATTTTAATTCAGAACTACATCCATGCCTTGATAGAAAGTGCTAAATATCTATGCCAAGACTTAGGGTAGGGGGGATAATGCAACTAACACTGAATTTTAAAAACCCCAAGAAAGTAGATGAAGTGGAAAGTAAGTTGAGCGTTTTATAACCTCAGGGCTCAGGTTCAACAATGATATGGATTTTCATGTAACCTTTTTTTGGCTTGCCTGGGTTTTTAGTAGATAAGATCAAAGTCAGCCAGATTAGTTGTACTTTCCTTAATTCCTTCAGCCTGGCATTGATAAGATATGGATCCCTTGGTTTTTAGTAGGAATCTAGCCTAATTCATTCTACCGGAGAGATGTGATTTTAGGCTTTTAGCATGACTGGATTTTCACATTAGCCAAAAAAGAGAAAAAAGTGGAAATCCACGTTATGTTAAGCTCATCTGAAAAATTCAGTTCAACTTTCACTAGTTCCCTAGTTCAGGAGCTTTATTGGAACTATATGTAGTTGGGTGTGCCAATTGCACCATTCTGCCTTCTGTGAAGGCTTATTTTAGCATGGTTCTCCTTTGTGCATAAATCTTGCCCAAGTGCACAACTGGGGTCCATCTTCTTTTAGTGTGCAAAATTTACTGAATACAGATGATCTCTTTTTTCTTTCGAATGAACCAAACACACCTAGATATCTACTTTATCTCTGGTTGTGTCATACAACAACAACAACATTGCCTCAGTGCCGCAAAGGCTCACACCTACGGTTGGGTAAGGGAAAGTCGGATGTACACAGCCTTACCCCTATACTAAAGCACAAAGAGACCATTATCGGATGACCCATAATGAAAATCGTGTCGAAAATTGCACAGATTGACTGCTGCTTCATAACAAAGAAGTGCAGACAGTTTTGTGAGCCATTTTGCTTTATTCTATCATATCTCTAGTTGTTGTATTTAAAAAAATGCTCCAAGTTTCAGCATATAGGTATTTAATACTGCTCATTTTATTTTGTATATCAGAACTTGCAGAAATGAAACATGCCCATCCCGCTGTTACCAACCTTGATAGATTATTGGTAAGTCTATAATCAAGCAGAATGACATACTATATTAATTGTTACTTCCTCTGTCCCTTAAAACTTTGCCAAATTTGACCGGCACGGAGAATAATAAAGTAAAAACTATGTGGTTGAGGTTTGTGCAGAGGTGAGAGATAACAAGAACCACAAGTTAATTGATTAAAAGGGAAAGTGACAAAGTTTTTGGGACATCCCAAAAAGGAAAGATGACAAAGTTATAAGGGACAGACGAAGTATTATGTAGCGTGTTATATCAGGCTGCACGCATGGGGCCATGCTTTTAATTCATGGGATACTACTGTCTTTCTGAGAGAAACTTGTGACACCGGAGAGGTGGAGTCACATGTATAATGCATTTGTCCTTACTCCTTAATAAGCTATACAGTAACTTTGCACCCGGGTTGTTTGCTTACTCCTTTCAGTCTAGGGGGTATTCATGGATTCGGTGAATTTACCCCAGCAGGATGAATTTTTTTGAGTAGTATGAAGTTCTCTTAGATTATTCCAGAGTATGGATATCTTTAATCATCTTTGCTTCTCCATACTCCATGCATGGTGAAAGCTTTGTACTTTGGATTGCTCTCTTTATGATTTTTTTATCATTTTTCACTTATGTAAATCTCAGCAAGATAAAGGGTAATTTAACTTTAAATTCTCAAACTATTACCGGAATCAGAGCAGAATAAATTGATTGATTTATTCCTTGGAGCTCGCTAGGTAGTTATTCTTTAAGCAGTTTAGTATTACCGGATTGGCAATCAATTGCAATTTTCTTCTGTCTTTTGTTATTCAAAGTGAATGGTTTTACTCAATCCTTCAATGGATCTTGAAGTAAACTCTACATGTTTTTATCACATGAAATTTGAGTTTTACGGTTTGAGCTAAGGTCGGTTAAATTCTTGCTTCAGGTTGCAGGAAGAGACGTATGTTTTTATCTGTCTGAGAACCTAGATGAATATGATGAAAACACATTCTGGATCCAAAAAGATATCTGGGAATATCCATATGGACTAGAGCATGCACTGCCTGAAAGGCCCGGTTACAGTTCAGGTATGCAGACAATTGTTAACCTGGAAATAGTTAGGGTCAGAAGGCTAAATGGGCAAATTGGTTTAGCTGGTATCCATGCTCTCATTGGCTGCAAGCCTGCAATTGAAGAGAGGAGACGGAAGTGAGGGCTAATGGCCTATTGGACACTGTTTGATTCACAGCCATCCTACTGATTCTAAGCCCTTGTCCTACTTATGTGTTGATAATTAATGTCATCAGTTGGTTACACCTCTTTCAGATCCCAAATTTCTTTATGTGCATCTACTTCTTTATATTATACAGACTAGATTTTGTGGTCTTTTGCTGGTATTTTTAAGTTGAAAGTGGCCTGCTTAAGTAAATATCTATTTACTATTTATTTTTGCTGAAGGCGAATCACTGGATTTGTATAACGATCATCATTTGTGCTTAAACTTTGGGATGAACTTTGGCGGGAGTAATGATCAGTGCATAAATCCTGAAGGTTTTGCTAGGTTCATTGGATTGCTTGAATCAATCCCATTTAATGATACATTTCCAAGTGAGCATGCAAGGATAGACTCAAGGTTCCTTTCTTGCTTGAATTTTCGGTCCTTTATCTTGCATTCTTGCCTAATTAAGAGAAACTCCAGCATGCCTGAATGGCATATTCAAACGTTATATGTGAAAATTTGCATTCTTGTCTAATTTAAGAGAGACTCCAGCATGCTTCTGTAACATAAAAAAATATATGTTGAAATTATTGGCTAGATACATCTGGATGTCATTTTATGCTATAAAGCTGTCATGGCCTGGGTTTGTTGTGGGTCCCCTTCTTTTATCGGCACATCCTGATGCAACGTTAGACAAGAAACCTTCTGTTGGAGTTGTGTTATTTACTTGTTTAATAATGCTAATAAGTTGCACTGTTTTTCATATCTCCGCACTGGACTTTGTTAGCCATTTCATCTAGTTGATTTTTAAATGTGTTGATCCTTCCCTGATTCTAATAGAGATAATTCCCCAAATTGGATAAAACATGGGAGAAATGCAAAAATAGGAGTAGGTTCTTAAAATTCCCCAAATAGGAGATTTTTTCAAGCTTGGACAAGGATACCCCTGCAGGGTTTGGGCCAGCCACCACACTGCCGCCAGAGCTGCTGCCGGCGTCGGAACCCAACCGATGTCAGAAAACCGCTGTCCAATCTTCCATTGCCACCAGCCGCCGGTCGCCAGAATGCTCTGCCATAAAAATCTCCAGAATTCATCTGCCACCAGTCGCCGAAGCTCCGCCGCCGCGCCACCACCAACGGATTGACCTGGTTATGAAAGGGAACTAGGGGGAAAATTAATTATTAATTATATTAATTAATTAGCTTAGGTCATTAGGGGTATAAAATTAATGTTTAGTCCTCTTTAGGGAATGTTTAGCATGGATTCTATTTAGGGAAAAGGAGTATGTTTTACTCCTATTAAGGGAAATTACATATTCTAAAAATAATGGTTTAAATTAATGTCCCTGTTCCTACGTAAGAAGGTTGGTCATGAACTTTTTGCATGAACTTATTTATAGTGCTAACAACACTAGAAATTCCATCCTACCGATTTCAACTAGTTGGGGTTAATGGTGAAGATGATGATGATGAATGCTTTTTGGAAATTTATAATCATTTTCAGGTACATACTAAAAAAAAGATATGGTCATGGATCATATGGAGAAGTATGGATGGCTTTTCGCTGGAATTGTTCTCATTCCAACAAGTCTTCAGAAAGAAAAACTCCATCCTTTTCTGATGATTGTGATACTGGCTCCTCTGGTTACAAAAAGTTTATTTTGAAGCGCATAATGGTAAATTGATCTCAATATAAGCCTCTTATATCCTTAACTTGCATATCTTCAGTTTTACTTGTTCGGATCTATTAGAGTATTATCAGAAATTCAGAACTCAACAGGATTATTTTCATGTATGTACTAATATTAAGTTTGATAACATTCTATTTAAAATGACCATCTAGAGGTAATGATGTTTGTACATAGAGTTTGATCTCAAGAGTCTTTTCCATTTTTTCTCTTGCATTAAAGATCAATAACAACATCCAAGCCTTAATCCCAAAAGAATTTGGGGTCGGCTAACATGAATCGATCTATGATATCGATGCCAAACAAAGAGACGGAAAAGGAAGAGCAAAAAAAAGTAAGATAGAACGGATAAAATAAAGATAAATAAATATAAGATAACAATAACATAAGAATATAAGAAAGATAAAAGACAACAAGATAAAAGAGCATAAAAAAGCTAGAAGATAAAAATAACAAAAGAATATAAAAAGATAAAGAAGATAAACGATAAAAGAAAAGAGAGAGGAAATGTAGAAAAGACATCAATCGTCCACACTGATGAGCGTCTTCCACTTGTATTAAAGATCACATAGAAAGCTTGTAGTGAAAAAGGGAAATATGATTCTTTTTATGTTTTGACATTTTGTCAAATTGAATAGAGACAAGTCTGTCATGTTAGTATGTCACAGTACGAAGTAAAGCTTTCAGAATCTTCTTGTTGGTGCACTAACACACATCTAGATTCTTGTAACAGTGGTTGGAGCTTTGTAGTATGATGTATTAATGTGATATGCTTCAATAAGGTATAAATGTTCTAATTTTCTGCATCCGAAGACCCAGAACATGTTCATCATAATCTCAGTATTTGGTACTTGGTTTTATATCGGCTATATGTTTACGTTACCAAGCTTTTAGTCAAAATCTTATGATATCAATATCATGTTCCTCTGAATGTTTGGAGTGAGGCTAATATCTTTAATAGTTAATCTTAAAATTTAAAAGGTGGAGAAAGGGGCAGCTGTATATCTAAGTGGGCTAAGGGAGAAGCATTTTGGAGAACTTTTCTTGAATGCATCTGCTTTACTAGGAGGTCCACTGCCAGGTAGAGGATCCTATTATTTCTCAAAAGATACATATTTAGAGTCACATAGACATTTAGTAGAAGGTAACTTAACCGATCTGGAAATGGGTGAAACTTTTGAGAATATTTATGGTGGAAGAACTGATCTGATGCAATCTACCTATGAAGACGGACTTGATCACATAGCTAGATATGTAGAATCTTTTGAGTCTCGATCTAATGAAATATGGCTTGTGTTCCGTCATGAGGGAGTATCCTTGTCAAAGATATTGTATACAGCAGAAGTAGTAAGTAATGCAGAAGGGATGACGAATGAACAAGCAAAAAATGTTCAGATCTTGCACCCATCAAAATGGTGGCACTGGTTGAAGACAACAGAAGCAGGGAAAGAGGAAATGTGTAACCTTATATGGCAGTTGGTATGTTATGTCAAAATTTGCATGTCTTTGGTTTTCATACTTTCTATGCAGTCTATTGTCTGATTTGGTATATGAACATTACAATCAACATCACCATTCTCAATTACATCGGCATGTATAGGTCACATCTTAAAATCTTATTTTACTCCTATAAAATAAACCCAATTTCTAGTGAAAGCCAGTTGAGTGTGCACTTTGTGATATCCAATATAGTGGTTGTTGAGTACTGCACACCAGTGAAAATAATTAATTTGTTTGAGAACTAAGTCTAAATATTTCACTTGGTTTGTTTGCTAAGTGAAAACCTAAGTTATGCTCATTTAAAGCTCTGAATACCATCATATGTGGCTTAAAGTAGGAATCTAACTTTCAATGGCATTTGCTTCATAATCCGCTAATAAGTGGATTGAGTTGATTTCTTAAATTCAACAATCCTAGTCTGGGATTTTTGCTTAGATGCAACATCTCTATGAATTTTTCCTTAAGGAGTCACCATATACACTTTTCTTTTTCTTCAGCTCATGGCACTTAAATCCTGTCACGATCGGAATGTCACGCATAGAGATATTAAACCTGGTAAGAGCCTCTAGATAAATACTTACGCGAGTTAAGTGTCAATGCAGATGAAAATTCTTATATTGGCTTGCATATTTAGAAGATACCATACCAACTAGCTATAATCTGCCATGCTAAAAATAAGTGTTGGGTAGTTACAATTTTCCTGTCTAAAGGAGTGTTAGTGTAATTCTGGTTTACACGAAGATGATGGCTGTTAGTGTATAATAATCGATCATAAGATGAGGACTAGTTGAGTTATAAATTCCTTTTAATGATAAGCACTTAATAGTATGGAATACCATAGGCATGATAGGCACAGACACAAATCACAACTAAAACAGTAAGAGAATACACAGATCTGATGAGCAGAGAGGGAAATAGATGTTTATTGATGAAATAGGTAAGCCGTAGGCAGTACAGGGACTTCTTAGGCAACCGGGACTTTTAGGCAACAAGGCAACAGTTCTCAAAATAACACCTACCTATTATTAGCTACCCAACTTACTATTTATAGTAGTAGGTCCACGCAGGGACTAAAATAGATAAACAGACTCATTAAATGACCCAGCCCACTTAATGGACTTCAGACCATTTTATTTCTACTTTCAAATACCCTATTAAAATACTAAATAGGCAGATTCCTAACATTACTCCCCCCTTAATTAACCACCTTGCCCTCAAGGTGGGTAATAAGACACAGCCTTGATCTTGAACTTCCTCTTCATCCTGGAACCTCCACCTTCCCAGTACCTCCTTGATGGTTTCTGCTCTAGGAACTTCATTTCCTTCGCTTTCATCATCACATCTTTCAAAGCAAACAGGAGCAGAAACTGGGTATTAAAATTTCCTGGAATTACACTTGAAGCCTCTCCCTTGTAACCAATCTCTTCATGTACAAGTTCTAAGGCAGACATGCTGTGAGGAGTTGTAACTCTCAATGGATCAAGGAACAAACCAGTTTGAACCCTTATAAGAACTCCCATACCAACTTCAAATGTGTGATCAATTCTCCTCTTCCCATTAATTCCTTCTTGTAGCATTTCTTTGATAATCCTCTCTATATCCTCTTTTTGGCCTTGTGGGTATCTATATAACCTCAGGTTAGGTACTTCTGCTCCCTCTTCAATGTTAATAGCATGGTCACACTTTCTAGGAGGAGGTAATCCTGGTCTGGGAGTAAATACCTCAGAAAATTCTGCCATAATTCCTTCCCAATTGGAATCTTTCAGCTGATTTTCCTCTCCCTCCATTTTTCTGCCTTCCCAGTAGATAAGATAGCCATCACCAGCCTCCTGTACAATTTGTGACATGGTCTTCAGAGATACTTTCATAGATTTTGACTTAGAGTCTCCATGAATAGCCTGACTTAACCCCAGCTGATGCCATTTTATGCTCTGCTTCTGAAAATTGATCTCCACATCCCCCAATCCAGTCAACCAATCCATGCCAAGAACCAAGTCCGTTCCCTCTAACTCCAGCATGTAGAAATCTTGTTGAATGACAGCTCCCTGCAGGTTCAGAATTATTTGTTCACACCTGCCCTTGTTGGAGATCTCATCACCATTCCCAAGCTGGACCTTGTAGCCAGCAATGGTCTGATAAGGGAGGGTTAACTGCTCTACCACTTTCTGAGATATGAAGTTGTGTGAGGCTCCACTATCAATTAGAACATCTACTAGTTTCTCTCCCTTAGCCCATTTCAGAGTCCCCTGCACCCTAAAAGCCCTCTTAGTGGGTAGTCCCTCTTGGTTCATGAAGGTTAACTGCATGGACTTGGATTCCATGGTGATCTTTTCTTCTTCAGGGATTACCCCTTCTGAGTTACCCAATTCCTCCTCTCCCTCTGAATCTTCCACCAACATTAGTTTGTAATTCTTCATTTTACATGAGTGTTCTCTACTCCAATTTTCACCGCATTTGAAGCAAAGCCCCTTCCGGCTTCTATCTTGGTATTCTTCTTGTGTCAGCTGAGGCCCTACTCTTCTTATGTCTGAGGAATTTATTTCTGTTCCCTTCTTCCCATCAGGAGTAAACCAAGGTGGGCTTCCCCTGTTGTCTGGTGCATTTCTGCCACCAGTTGGTGGCCTTGGACTCCCAGGCTTGAAGTTATAGCCTGCACCCCCAGCTGGTTGTCTGTAGTGCAGGTGCCCCTTATCTTTCCCCTCTGTTCTCTCTACCATTTTTCCCTTGCCATTGACAGCATCATTCCTTTGCTCAATCAGAACGGCCCTGTCCATGACAGCAGCCAGAGATTTGGAATGGTGAAGTTTCAGCTCAGCTTTAATTTCTGCTTTGAGGCCATTGATAAAAATACCACGTAGCATACCCCTGTCAATGTTTTTCTGTGGGGCTATTACCATCTCAAATTCCTCCCGGTAGTCTTGTACAGTCCCCGTTTGTTTCAGGCTCAACATGGGTCCAAAAGGATTTTGTAACAAGTCAGGCTGGAACCTGCGGATAACAGCATCCTTCAGGTTTTCCCAGGTTATTTCCTCCGCCTGTTGCTCCCACCACTGGTACCAATTCAAGGCTCTATCCTCCATAGCCACCATCGAAACCTCCACCTTGTCTTCCTCTTCAGTTTTATTCAATCTAAAATAGCGTTCCATCCTCACTATCCAGTTGTAGGCACCCTCCCCATTAAACAAAGGTAGATCCACCTTCCTACCCGTGTGAACACGACGATGGAAAACTGGGGAGTGTACAGAGTTACCTCTCAATTTCGACGAGCTGCTTGGTGATCGCGAACGGTGGCGGTTCTTTGATCGCGACCTTCCCCTGGGCTGATCGTCCTGCTTATACGCTGCCATCGAGGCCGCGACACTCGTCTGGATCTGTTCGTTCATTGTCGCGACCAGGGTGGCGATAGTGGCCCTCATCTCCTGCTGGAACGCCTCCATCTGTTGCTCCATATTAGATCTCGTTTTTACCATCTACCGTTGAAACGAGAGTTCTACAGTAATCGCACTTCACTTGCGATCCCCAGGAGCGATTGCTCTGATACCAATGATAGGCACAGACACAAATCACAACTAAAACAGTAAGAGAATACACAGATCTGATGAGCAGAGAGGGAAATAGATGTTTATTGATGAAATAGGTAAGCCGTAGGCAGTACAGGGACTTCTTAGGCAACCGGGACTTTTAGGCAACAAGGCAACAGTTCTCAAAATAACACCTACCTATTATTAGCTACCCAACTTACTATTTATAGTAGTAGGTCCACGCAGGGACTAAAATAGATAAACAGACTCATTAAATGACCCAGCCCACTTAATGGACTTCAGACCATTTTATTTCTACTTTCAAATACCCTATTAAAATACTAAATAGGCAGATTCCTAACAAGGCATCTAGCTGAATATGCACACATGGATCATCAGTAGTATAGAATAGCATACTCATCTAGCTGAATATGCGCACACAAATCATCTTGCTATCTTCTAATTTGCTAGTACATCCAATGACTTTCTTATTTACTTTTATCTATGTTAAATTAGAGTGCTATATTAAGCTTCGGGGTACTCCTCCTAACAGGTTGACCTTTTAGGATGAAACCCCGGATCTTAACATGGTATCAGAGCCAAATCGATCCATAGTGTGGGGCCCCTTATGAAAAATGACAACACGAAAAAAAAAATTGCCGAACCGATGAAAAAAAAAAATGAATGACGACACGATCCAGATGAAGTGTCTGGTCGTGAGGAGGGGTGTTAAATTAGAGTGCTATATTAAGCTTCGGGGTACTCCTCCTAACAGGTTGACCTTTTAGGATGAAACCCCGGATCTTAACAATCTACAAGGATTTTATTATTCTTCAAGTTTGTTTCCTGAACTTCTACTTTTATGGTTAGAGAATATGGTCATTTGCTTTGAAGATAAGGATTCTGGGAGATGCTTGGAAGGATATCCAAGTGGGGATAATAGTCATGCCACAAAAATGTAATTCTGATGATCTATTTTCACAACCGATTGACTTGAACTTGAAGTATACTCATTTTTAGCACTTTTACTGAATACAATTTTTTTTTTGGTCAAACCAATTCTAGTGCATAAATTGCAGTTCTTTTCTTGCTCAGATTTGAAATAGATTATAAGATGCCCTTCTATCTTGTATTAAAGTATGTTCTATCATCTGTTAGGCGCATTATTGACTTTGGGAGTGCACTGGATGACTTTACATTGAAGCATTTGTATGGTTCTATTGGGCCTTCAAGGTATTCTACTTGAAGTTGAAAGTTTTGTTTGGTCCAATACAATTTATTTACACAAAGGTAGAAAATTTAACAGTTTGACACCCTTTTTAAATTAGAATTTACTCTGTTAATCATTTTTACCTTAACCTCAACTGCGTTAGGATCAGTGCTATGATATTTTAGTTTCACTCAATGGGCCAAAGCTGGTTAATAGTACAGATGCATGAAATAAAGAGCACTGGGCAAAATTTTACTCCGGATGCCCTTCATATCGCAACCTTTCGAATGATGAGATGAAATCTATATACCGTCATGCCATCAAACCCAACACAGGTCAAATTTAGGAAATGATTATGATTGCATACTGTATTCTTGTTTCCTATTCTCTCAGGTCCGAGCAAACTTCTGAATACACTCCACCTGAAGCTTTTCTTAATGCCAGCTGGTACCAAGGGCCAACTTCAGCAATTCTGAAGTACACCGATTTCACTTCATCTACTATTGAGTTTCTTCCTGCCGTGGCTGTTTATTTGTCTATTTTCCCTTTTTTTTTCTATAACATTCTCACTGGCTGGTGTGTAGATGAGGCTCCAGGATTAAGTTACATTTGAAACTAGAAATATAGTCTTGTGCAAACTCATGTTTTTGTGTTGAGAATCTTGAGATATATATTAGCACCATAGGCATCAAGTATTACTTCTTGTGTTCTTTATTTATCTCCATATATGACTTTTCTTGGTTATCTACAAAATGAAAATGTGTTGAGATTTTTTTATAGGAATAAAACAAAAAATGTGAGCCTCACAATTCTTTCAATAAAAAGAGATAATTTAGGGATAAAAAAGGAAGTGCGAAAGGCAATTCGGCTAATAAGCATCATATTACTGATGAACATAAAAGGTAACAAAGTTATTACGCAGTATATATTTTGAATTCATTAAGGGAAAAAGGAACAATGTAGGAAACCTAGTCCCTATTACTGATAAATGCAGCTTAGTTATTTTCCGTAGACATTACACAAACTTCATTTCAAATGTGAGCACTAATAGGGAAACAGAGTTATGATATCTTCTCCCTTCCCTCTCTAAACCGAAGAGGAAAAAAAGTGTGAGATAAATAAGATATTTTATGAACTTCCTCCCGCATTTAATCTACATGGCTGATATTTAAGCATTACCCCAGGTATGACATGTGGAGTGTTGGGGTTGTGATGCTGGAACTAATATTAGGATCACCAAATGTGTTCCAGATAAGTTCTAGGACACGTGCCCTTTTGGATCAGCACCTAGAAGGGTGGAATGAAAGCTTAAAGGAGCTCGCATTCAAGTAAGTTCAGAATACAAGTACAAGTAACAAAGGATTTGGTACATAAACCCTTTAGATGATCCCTCAAGGTCATGAGGTCCTCTATTAATATCTTCAGTTTCTACTCTATGACATGTATCAAGTGTGCTCTTAGAACCATAACACCTTCTTTCATGTATTTTTTAGTATGCTGTGGACCCTTTTAAATCGTTGGCAATCCAGGACTCCACTCTGCATAATAGGAAATTAGGGCACTATCTACTCGTTGGCAAATGTACTAGAACTACTGTAGTTGGTTCTCCCCTGCCTTATCTTCAATGATCACTACACCCGTGAATGTCCTTGTTGTTGATCCTGTCGTCTTTAGTCTTGCCACAAATCCTTCTTATAGACACTCATTTTCATCTTCATTAAGTCTTTCTTAATTGCCCAACACTGATCCATATATAAATGTTGGTCAGGTGGCAATTCTGTTAAAAGAAATTCCAATCGTAGAGTTTGCAGATTACTCCTTCTCATCCAATCTGTTTTTATCTTTGGCGGCTGTAAATTTGCACTATAAATACTTGGCATTTATCCTTTCTTTGAAATATGGGATCGTAAACCGTAATCACATTGCTTTGGTTGTAACTAGTAATAAAAGTTGCTCTCTTTGATTTATGAATAATGACTCTTGATGACCACACATTCATTATTTTTGAATAGACTGAGATCATTCATGGAATTATGTATTCTGATCCCTGGGAGCTCTTCCAAGCCTCATCACTCTAGGGCTACAAATAACCCAGTAAGCGATAAAGTTCAGCATCTTCTTTTTTCATGTTTACTTTGCTGAGAATAATGGACAGAGTTGTGATTACTGGGTAATTATATTTTCATTCTTGCATTTCTTCACTCCATTCGTACATTCTTTAATGAAAAGACTTTTATCTTGCTTTACAAGTATAATATCACTCATTAGTGGTGCCATCATCATGACATCTACTAGGGTTCTGTTTCACCGGCTCCATGGAAATGCTCTGAAGATTTCTTTTTGCGTCAAATTAGAAACAGAGATCCTTTAAAAATAGGGTGAGTAGAGAGTGTAATTTCTTCTTCGGCCCCAAAAACTATTAACTGCTTCTAGTGGATCTCACAAGGCTCTAGTTAGTTTCTCTCTTCATTTTTTAAAAGACCCGATTTGCATGGTGTGCAGGTTTCCAAATATATGGGCTTTGCGATTAGTACGCCAACTGCTACGTTGGAATCCTGTGAGTCAACCCATCACAAAGTTTTTTTAATATATTATTATTGTTATTATTATTAGGGAAAACTCTCAAATAGGTCCTCGAACTTTCATAAAAAGGTCAAATAAGTCCTTATATAGAAGGCTCTGTCCAGCCGTCGCGATTTGGGGCGGTTCCCGGTGGAATGTTTTGATGAAATTTTTTGAGCATCTTATTCATCAAGTCTAGTTTACTCATACCAAATTTCAGCTAAAACTTCAATCGGGAACGCATTCAAATTAATTCTTGAAGATAACTGCGCATTTAACTGCACAGTTATCTTCAAGAATTAATTTGAATGCGTTTCCGATTGAAGTTTTAGCTGAAATTTGGTATGAGTAAACTAGACTTGATGAATAAAATGCTCAAAAAGTTTCATAAAAAAATTCCACCGGGAACCGCCCCAAATTGCGACGGCCGGACTGAGTCTCCTATATAAGGACTTATTTGACCTTTTTATGAAAATTCGAGGACCTATTTGACAGTTTTCCCTCATTATCATTAACCTTATGCTTAGATCATTATTGATACTTTTGAAATGTGGAACAAATATAATTTATTAGTAAGTAATTCAATTTATATGATCATGTAGGAGGATCGACCTAGTGTAGATGAAGCTCTGAATCATCCATATTTCTCACAACATGCTCATATCTATCCTCCTTGCGGTGGTCGTGGAGGAAAGGTTTAAGTTAATTTGCACCGTGTGTATATATGACGGCCTATTCACTAAGGTTCAACATATTCTTTGTTGGCTACTCTCTGCTTGGCAAGGGTCGACTGTTCGATGATTGTGGTAAAGAGATCAGGAGCTGCTGACTTGCTCTAGTTGTGGACATCGTATTATATCATCTATTAGAAATATCAAATACGTTTATTTCATCATAGGGCAGAGGAAGTGGAAATGAGTTCTTCGCTTTCCAGGATAGCCCAGCAAATAACAACATGAACACAAAATTGCGAAAAACAAAAAAGAAGAAGAAGATGACAGTCTAAGAGACCAAAACTGCAAGTAGTCTTGAGATTGAAGATGAACTTGTTCAAAGAAGTGAGCATGAGATTGCACTTGGCGCATGATGAAAGAGTTAGTGAAATAATTGAACACACTATAAGTTGTATACAGAGAAGGATCCTACAATTGTGAGCTGACTGTATCTTGCCACCATCACAATATACTCCTTATGAAACATGTTAAGATTGTACTTGAATTACTTTAACATGTGAACAAAACTTTAAAATAACAATGGTCAACCTTCACTTACTAATCAACTAATCAAAATTTTGGAGTTTTAAATTTTAATATGATTAGGGTCGGGTAAACACATAAATGATACATTAATTACATTTTGGTACTTTAACACTTTCAGATAAATCAATATCATCATTATTGGAAAAGTGATTTTATATTTCTTAAAGACTGGTTCCTATGGGTGGACTCGGGCCGGGCGGCCCGGCCCGGAACCGGACCGGCCCGGTTCCCGGTCTTGGAGCTGGTTCAGGCCAACCGGAATCGGTCAGTTCCCGGTGCGGGCTCGGGCCCCCTAAAACGCGAACAGGCTTGGTTCGGGCCTTTTTTTTTCAATTTTTTTTATTCTACCGGGTTGGGTGTTTTTTTTTGGGGGGGGGGGGGGTTGGGAATTGATTACAAAAGCAAAAGAAAATTAAAAAAAAAAGTCCGAACCGGAACCGGCCTGGTTTGGGCCCGGCCCGAAACCGCCGGCTACCCGGGCCGGTTCTGATGCAACCTTTCCCAAATAAAAGTCCGGACGGGCCTAGGCCCGAACTGGAACCGGCCCGTCCCGGGTCCACCCCTACTGGTTCCTTTCAATTTGGACAAACAAGTGGGATTAGTCTGCATATCTAATGCAACTAGACAAGGGTTCTGCTTGGCTTAACATTGATGGGTTGTTTATAGGGGAAAATAAATAATATACGCTGAACTTTGCCTTGGTGTGAGCTTTCCACCCTGAACTTATCCTAGTTTAAAAAATATCCCCAACTGTTTTTTTTGTACCATATGTTAATTAACAAATAATATTTCTCAAATTAAAATATGTTAATTAAATTTAGTTGGCAAGAAAAGATGTGTAATTCTAAAAAATGTGTGCTTTCTTAGATGGTTTGGTAGGACATGGGGCATAAATATCTCAATTTTATAAAGTATGAGATATTTATACAATGTGGACAAGTTTGGGGTAGGGATATCACACCTATGCAAAGTTTAGAGTATTTTATTTATTTTACCTTTTAATTTGTTTATATTTTATTTGTTTACTGTCTTTTTTTTTAACAGTTTTGCTTATCAATCATCAATGTATAGTAGTCCTCGTTATTTTTGTTCATCTGCTTTATTTTTGGTAGTGGAGTCGTGAGTTTTAATACCAGATTAGGAACATGGAGCTGATATGGTCAACTTAAGCTTCTATTTGTTCGTTACATGGTTAGCGATTTTTGTGACTGGCGATAGAGTCTAAGTCTGATCATTGGACTTTTTGCATGTCAATAATGATATTTCATTGTGATAATATTAGTTAGTTTTATTTGTTATCACACATTTATTTTGGATAAGAAATACGGAGTATGTATCCGGCCATCTAATTAAACAACAACTTAGATAACACATATATATATATATACGGCGTATTATTCAACTATTTTCAAATAATTGAAGGCAAAATGTGTAAATTAGGACATATATATACCTTTGTTTAATAATATTGTAAGTTAATTACCATCAATAAAAATATATTTTGGTAAAATAAAATGAAATTGAATTACTGTATACAACATTTAATTACATAAAAAGGTAAACTCCAAGTTACACTAATATATGTATTTCATTTATAAATTAATAACTTATTTAATTGTTTTAAGGAAAGTTTAATTTGAAACAAATAAAAAATTGTAAATAATATTATAAAATATCAATATAGTAGCAATATAGCAAGATACTAATACTACGTTTAAATTAGTAAAACAAACATCATTTTTCTATAGTTTTATATTTGATTTAGTAAACTACTTCACCCTAGTTGAATTTTTTTTCTACATAGTCTTAATTTAAAATGCAAAATCAACCTACACATTTTTTATATTTCATATATTTCAGTCTTTCAGAACAAGTCGTCTGTCATGATCAGCATCTTAATGTCATGAAAAGAAAATATCCAAATAAAATCATTGGCTTTAAGTAAAACTAATAGTTTATTAAATCGGATTGCAGGACAATCTTTTTCTGGGAAATTCATTCCTAAAATAGAAGTAAATAAGTTTTGGAATTTCAAAATAGGACATCTATGTTTTTTTCCCGAAATAGGAGTAACATAACAATATTTACTACTCCCTCCGTCCCATTTTACCTGTCATACTTTATTTTTTGGGTTGTCCCAAAATAAGTGTCACATTTCCCTTTTTGGAAAGAAATATATGATTCACAATATTTCACTTTACTATACTCAAATCTACACCACAATTTTTACTTTTTCAATCACTTTATTAAAAATTGTGCCAAAACTAAAGGAGACACATAAAATGGACCGAACGGAACTTTTACTTTGATTCTGTGTTTGGTTTTAAGTCAAAACCAAACCGAAAGAACCGTACCCACCCCTAGGATATTATATAGTATCATCTTGTAGTCATTACTGCCAAATAGTTGCAGTCCTTGGCATTAAACATGACAATATTTAAGTATTTAACTGACAACCATTAATGATACTCTGTAGTATTTTTCAATCACGACAGTATTTTCAATAATGACAGTAACGACATTTTCAATCATGCTAAAACATATTTTCTCTTTAAGTTTAAGTTTCCCTTTTTTTACTTTAAGTTTCTTAATTACAAATAAATCATAGCAGGAAGTCATGAACCTACGTACTTTCCTAATACGTAGCATGAGGCACTGAAGCAGTGTTACGTTATTAAATCCGTTTATTATTTATAAGAGGATTACGATTTTTAGAGTACCGCTCTAAATTATGGAGTATGTCTAATTTCCTAATTCTAGCTTCGTAGCACTATCTTGTTAATCGCAGTGGAAAAGTACAAAGAAATCCTAAACCTAGTTTCCTAATTAATTCTTGTTTCCTAATTACGTACTAATTAATCCTAGACCTAGTGCAAATACAAAAACTAGCTGCGCTTAACAATTCTACTGCACCCTCTAAGCATCGATCATATATATATAATTATATACACACTAAGTGAATGCATAAACCTCCCAGCAAATACATATAATTACTCGGTATATATTATTATACTACGTATAATTAAGTTTGTTAATTAGGTCATTTACCATTAAGTGTACGGCTGCAATGGTGAAACATACGTGGAGCAAACAAATTGGCGCCATTGGAAGTGGAACTCATGCCAGTGTTTACCTTGCTTTCCCTGTCACTAGCGGCGGCGGCGGAGATGATACTTCCTCCCCCATCGCCGTCAAATCCACCAATATCAACTACTCCCATAATCTCCGCCGGGAAGCCAGAATCTTGAGACAACTAAGACCCGGCTGCTGCCCTCACATCATCCACTGCTTCGGGGAGGACGTCAGCGCCACTCCCCAAGGTGGTAGAGATTTCAACCTTCTACTCGAATACGCCCCGGCCGGGAGTCTCGGCGGTCTCGTCACTCCCGGCCGGGGCCGAAAACCCCGAATCGAGAAATCTGACGTACCGTTTTATGCGTACCAGATCCTTCTCGGGCTCCGACACGTCCACGACAAAGGGTTTGTCCACGGCGACTTGAAACCCGACAATGTCCTCGCGTTTCCCGCCTCCGCCGGAAAATTCCTCCTCAAGCTTGCCGACTTCGGGGTGTCCACGTTGGCCGGAAAGAAAGACGTAACGTATTACGACGAGGACGGCGACGTTTACGATGACGATGACGAGGACGACGAAGAACCGTGGTGCCCTCACTATTGTCGGGGGAGTTTATTATACGCGGCGCCGGAGTATCTCGCCACCGGAGTACACAACACGTCGGACGACATATGGTCTCTAGGGTGCATGGTGGTGGAGATGCTGACCGGAGAACCGGTGTGGCTGTGCAGAGACGTTAATGATTTGGTGAATCAAATATTGGATGAGAAGCCGGAGATGCCAGATGAAGATGTCCCGGAGTTGGCTAGAGATTTTTTAAACAAGTGCTTCTACAAGAAAGAGTGTGGAGATATTGAAGAGAGATGGACGGCTAGGATGCTTCTTAGGCACCCCTTCATCCTCAACAACAAAGATGTTATGGCGTGTTTGGTTGGAAGTGATGAATCTGATGATGAGGCGTTGATTAATGATGTTGAGAAGGATGAGTTGATGAGTAGAGAATTGCGCCAAAGTGGTGATGGATGGATCACTACTGAAGATTTATTCCTTCCTTTTCTATCTTACGAATTATGATATTTAAGTATGATATGATGTATTAATATGAATATATGATCGATATGTGAGCAGATCAAAAGTGGGAAATGCTCTCTATTTTAATATGCATACTTGCCACTAGCTAGCTCAGAACATGTTTAATTTATTGTAATCTCATTATTGGGTACAATTGCAATTGGTTTTACATGGCCGGGATTTAATTTATAAGTTTATTTAAGTTACCAAGCTTTTGGTAACTAATTAATTTGGAGTCAGGCTAATTAATATCTATATAATAGTTAATGTTAAAACTTAAAAGGTGGAGAAAGGGCCAACTTCAGCAAGTCTGAATTGAAGTATGCCAATTTCAAACCATATACGTATGTACTATTGAGTTTCTTCTTGTTGTGGCTGATTTTCTCTGTGCATTTTCCCTTTTTCCTATAACATTCTCACTGGCTAGTGTGTAGACAGTTAAGGATCCAGGCTGCAAGTTACGTACATTTGAACCTTGATATCTAGTCTTGCACAAATTGAACTTCAACACGCAGTAATATGGTATATACTCCGTATGGTATCATATATATGAATGTAAAATGCGTCATCTAATATAGTTGTTGCTTTTAATGTATCTAATGCATTAATGAATACATCATACGTTAAACAGTTAATCAAGAAAAAGAAAAAAAGAAAAAAGAAAACTTTTTATGTACGTCTAACTTAAACTTTTTTTCAAGAAAAAGAAAACTAATAATGATCCTCTTCCTCTAGACTAGCTTTGATGTAGGTAAACACAAGTTTGGTCCTCACATTTTATAGATTCAGATAGTTCAAGAAAAGGAAAAAGTCTCAAGCCTTTCTACTGTTTCGAAGAAATCAATCAAACCCATATGAACTAATATAAAATTTTTAGTTTGGCTTTTTAGCGAGTAACATTCTAATTCTCAAGTAAACTGCCCATATGGCATATGATGCAGCTTTTTTTTTTTTAAATTTTCCTTTATTTGTTTTTCTTTTCATTTTCCTCTCTGTTTAGCTTAGGGTGGGCACGGTCCGACACTGAACCCGATTTATAATAACAGTTCAGAATGGACTTGAAAAGATGTCCTTTTGTGAGTTCTTGTGCAAGAATTTCAGGCGATAATTCCTGAAGTAGATCGATTGTCTCTAGCAAGAGAGAAAAATTGGGTAACAACGAAAATAGGTTCGTCCACTTATGATATAGTGATCTGAAAAGAGACAGTGATATCAATACTTGAACCGGCCGGATTTCATTATCCCTCCCCTTCGAATTGGGATTAGCTTGTCCTCGAGGTTGATGTTAGAGTCTATACTTGCAAATGATGAAACGAGATGACATTGGAGGGGCCTTCTGAGCAATTTAGCGAAGTGAGGAGATGACTCGGCTAAATTTAAAAAATAAAATCTTACATTGAATAAATTGCCAATATAATTAAGCCACGTGGAGGGATGCACCCAAACATTCCGTAGAATGAATGCACCGTAAAATTTTCCTAATTCAATTTGTTATTCTAATCAAACCAAACGGATTTACCTACCTCTGTTGCGGTCTATTCATCAAAACTTCAAAAGTAAGCAAAGAGAGATGGAGAAGTTTCTACGGGAGACCTCTAGGCTCTAGCAGGATCTCGAACCACAATTCCGGGTCCACCGCATTTGTCCCAAATTCATCGAACCGACCTGCCATAGCCAGATTTTGTAAAAAGTATTTAAACATATTATTCGTTCCTTACCACGCATTCAGCGTCAAGCAATTGTGTTCATCAGCGTGTTAGTTGTGATTTTGTGAAAGACGAAACTGAAGAATATTTTCTGCGATCGGAGTTCTACCCTTTTGTAATCTGAGAGATGTGGAACAGTATGGCTGGTAAAAGTGATCCGGAGTCCGGGGGCGGGCTGCTATATCCGACGATGCTGGAGGCTCCGGAACTCCGGTGGTCATTTATACGGAAAGTGTACTCGATTGTAGCTATCCAGTTGCTGCTATCCGTCGCCGTCGGCGCTGTGGTCGTCTCTAATCATCATATCTCCCGCTTCTTCACTACTACTGGTGCCGGATTGGCTCTCTATATTGTTCTCATCATCACGCCTTTCATAGGTATTTGCTTGTTTGGATTTCGATGTGTTTTCTATTGTCTTTAATTTCATTTCTTTCACCGTTTGTTGCGGTATTAATCGATTGTTACCTCCAGTGCTGTGCCCTCTGCATTACTATTACCAGAAGCATCCGTACAACTATATACTGCTTGGCATTTTCACAGTTGCTCTTTCCTCCGCCGTTGGATTGACTTGTGCATACACGAGCGGTGAGCACATCTTTTTCGTTTTTCTCTTCATTTCCTAGTCCCATTTTTGCATTTTCTGTTCACATATCTTCCTCACTTATTTAGGATTGTTTTTATTCAAATCTCCGGCCAACTGTTAAACATGTTCACCTTTCTTGCTAATTGCTATGATCAAGTGGAAGCTCTTTCATTTCAATGCTTGTTTATTGTGCCAATTTTAATGTATTCGTCTTGGAACCTGTAGCTGCTATTTTTTTTTTCTTTTTTAAGGTTAATCAGATAGCTTTTGTGCATGTTTGACACAACAACATGAAAATATATATGCCAGGTAGGGGTTTTGTGTTTGAAAATACGAAATGAACACTACAAGTAAAATCAAATCTCTGATGCAACTGAAAAAGATATGAGAATTGATAAGAGTAACATGTGATTTGAATTCATTGGAATGCTTGAGAAAAATGATTAAATAAATAGTAGATGAATTGATTATATGCACCCTCATAATACTTAGACCTAGGACCAGATGAAATGAAATCCAAATATATGCAAAGTCTATGAATATGAACATGAATGAAATTTGACATCCTTTCTAGTCCACTTGAAAATATATTATGTCATTTCTATATATTAACTCTCTTCAAAGGATTAACATTCTACCTGTAATGAATGATACTGACATTAAATGCATACTGCATATTGCACATTTCTTACATTCGGTGCCACATTACTTTGTTCTGTATAATATTATTCCCATTTCTCAAAAGGAATGGTGAATTGGTGGTTGATACTTGTGATTTTAGAAGTGATATTGGTCATAAGATGGGAATATTAACCATTTGACCTGATTGATAACAGGGAAAGTGATCCTTGAATCAGCCATTCTAACAGCAGCAGTAGTGGTTGCTCTCACTTTATACACATTTTGGGCAGCCAGGAGAGGCCATGATTTTAATTTCCTTGGACCATTCCTGTTCGGTGCTATTATGGTGCTTATGCTGTTTTCACTGATCCAGGTTGGTTTCATTTTCCCATGTTTCTGTTGAGCTAAATTAATGATTGAACAAGAAGAAATCTTAATATGCTCTTACATTGCTATGTAGGTGTTTTTTCCTTTGGGGAAGATCTCAGTTATGATCTATGGGTGTCTGGCATCAATAATATTTTGTGGGTACATCGTTTATGACACAGACAACCTTATCAAACGCTACAGTTATGATGAATTCATATGGGCTGCTGTTGCCTTGTACCTAGATGTCATCAACCTATTTGTATCCCTCTTGAGCATTTTCAGAGCTACTGATAGTTGAAAAGTGCAGTTAATTCCCCTTTATGCTCTCTATTTGTTTGCATCATAGATTACTTGCAATGTTCTTCACATAACAATGAATTTGTATATTTGTATGTACTGTTGAAGTTGAAATGTCATAATTTTCACCTATGTAACTTCCCTTTTTGCTATAGGTGTAGGCCTACCTTCTCCTCTTCATAATTCGTTTTTTGCGCCAATTTCAATCCCGTTTTTATGTTTCTGTTAATAATTCTTCAAGGCACCTTATCGTATGAAGCATGCGTACAGTAAGTGAAATGGAATGGAAAACAATTGAATAAGATAAATTGCTCCAGTTTAGTTGTGTATGTTAAATCCACACGGTGATTATGGTGTAGAACATGAGAAACACGTCTTGAAGAAAGGGATATTGTTCCTTCTTCCCTCCCTATGTATTAGCATGAAAGAGCTCATCAATGGCTTTCAAGTTTCAAGAACCTTGATTGGTCATCATGTTCTTTTGCCTGTGGGTGGTGATTCGTATTTGGTAAACCCCCAATTAGTTAAGCCCCCAAGCTTCCAACTATACTAATATTACTCGGGGTCTCTGCTTAACTTCTTTTACGTAGGAAGCAACTTTAATTTCAAAATGTTCACTGTTTTTTCTCCTCATTTTGAACTGTTCTTTTCGGACTCTCTTGGCTTTTTAACAAATACACCTGTAGGGACCCAAACCATGTATACATGAATTCCATGCGTTTAGCAGGACAACATAAAACCCTTGAATATAAACATAAGGGTGTAATAAGTTGAGGAAAACACGGAGATGATTGTCGATCTCGTGTTTAATTAACATTGACGTTTGTGTGCATTGTGATGCCTTCTTCTGTCACATTTGCATCAGAAATGCTACTTGTGCACGGTCGGTTAGGTTACACGCTCGCTTGCACGCGCAAGTGTAAGTGTAATTGTTTGTAAAAATGAATTGTCTATGCACAGACAATTACACTTGGACAATTACACTTGGACGTGTAAGCTGGCGAGCAACTGAGTGTGCACAAGTAGCATTTCTGTATTTGCATTACACATTGGTTTTGTGACAAAAAGACTCATCCTCCATCCTAGTTTCTGTGACTATTTTTTTATTTTACATGCATCTAACTAAGAAATCTCCTCCTCCTTTCAGCCACAATGTAGAGAAGCCTTGAGACACCTTGAGTCCACATTTCGTACTGTTTCTGATTCTTACATTCAAACTCAACAACTCCACGCACCTCTGTCCTCAAGCCGAAGTATTTGCGTTGTTCTCCATCCTCAAACAAGTGCCTCCCAGGCCATGCAGGAATATCCTTGTACACCTCGAGTACTACATCTGTATCCATGTAAGATAACAATGTCTTAAAAAAACAAATAATTAAGATCGCTATCCTAAAATGCGTGTATTAAGAATAAGTAATCCACTAGCCCATCTCTTATATTGATGGAAATATGCATCCATTACTTTACTTGTTCCAGCAATGGAAATCAAAGTACATTGTAATTAATAGTGTCTCTAGGAGTAAAAATAGGGGAGAAAAGATGGAGAGTAAAAAAGTAGGAAAGAAAAGAAAAAATTGTGTATGAATGAAAAGTGAAGCAAGTATTAACAAACATCTTAAGGAAAGTGGAACAAATAGAATGAAGATAGGTGGTATGAAGTCGTGGAGTTAAATGGAAAAATGCATGTACTGAGGGAGCCTGGCATTTAGGTAGTTGTCACTTACTTTCCTTCCTTTTGGTGATGGTGTTTCCCACATGCTTGCTTTTCATCCTTAACATAACCTTTCCACCCCGGTGAATATAGACTGATACGATTTTCCAATGAAGATCACCTGCAGTACAACAATGCCATTTAAAACCAAGAAGCTACTTTTCTAATTCTGTTCTTGGTGTTGTCATCATTAAGCTCACCGTTGCGTGTTCTCTTGAGAAGCTCACTACCCCGGGCCAACAATTCTTGGTTACAGACACCAAGAAAATTCTCTTCAATGTCAAGTCCTTCATAGAAGCCATTGCTATTGTTGTTACCTGTTGCAACTCCTAGCCCCTTGTCTATGGGAATAACAGTGGAGATGCTCCAAACTTCCTTCAATGCCCTTGCCTTGAGTGTTGCCGCTCCCCTGAGTGCTGAAATACAGATTAGGAAGAATAATTCATCAGATAAAATGTTTGTCGAGAAAAGGCTTGCTGGGATACAAGTTCTTTTGTGTATGCATAGCTGTATACTGCTTCCTTTGATGCTGGCTCAAAAATTGCTTTGCTGAATAGGGCAGAAACTGGGGGGGGAGGAAAATAGTAGATGACAAACTAACTTTTTCTTATCCTGCAAACAAATGGTGTCTTAGTTCCAATTAATTACCTGTGGAAGCAGCAGCAGTGAGAGTTGATATATCCTCGTGAGAGCGGACATTAATCGCTGAGCTAACTGATGACATGAGGCGATCACGGTCAGCTCCCATTGCTTCTGCAGCATCAACACATTGTGCAGCCACCAGCATTGCAGCCGAAGCCACTGCCACGTCTGTCTTTGCTGCCGCCTCATCTTTACCAGTTGAAGACGCTGCTGCCGTGCTGGCTGCCACTGCTGCCACCGAAGCAGCCAGTCCAGCGACTGAAACCGCGGCGTGGATCTGGGCGTTGCGTGCTCTGCTTTCTTCTTTCTTCTTGTTCCTTCTTTGCTTCAGCCACTTCTTCACAGTGTTGTTATTCCCATCAATGGGAGTGTTGTTCCCACTGGTATTATTGTAATTCTTGATGTTTGTGAACAGTGGCTGGAGAGTGTTGTTTGCTCTTAAATACTGCATGCATCCATATTTGAAAGTTCAGTGAACTGATATTTTTTTCTTCTAAATTGCAATATGTGCAACGATATATCCACATATAGACTAGGGGTTTGGTGGCTTACATTGGCCTTTTTTATTGAGTTAAAAGATTTTGATTTACTTGTCTGTCTTCTTAAATTTATCTGTAAGTGCACACATCAATGTTGTTCACAAACAATAATTATACGTGAGCCGTTTACTTTACACAAAACATGAGTTACTTGTGACCTGATTTCATGTGTAATTATTGTGTGGCTGGATCAAACTGAATGTATACTCAAAAGTACACCATAATGTACAAGTAGTACCAAAAGGGTACACGAGCATTTACAAATAGCTTTTTCGGAACCCAAAATGACATATCCAAGCGATGTCATTGAAGATTCTTTTTTTGCCTTTATTTTCTCGTTTACAAGGCCCATACACGAAATCCGGCGGTAGGGTAGACAGTGGATAAAGACCACAAAGCATGTAATAAAACAAAGAATATATTTACTGGGGAAAATGGTCATTTCTCTGCAAGTAGGGTAGAAAGATAGACTGAAGATTTGATAAAGGTGAGGAAGCATGTAAAACAAGAAACATTTAAGGAGCATCACTTCACCACTTGGACACTCAAACTATCATTTCTCACATCTTCCTCCTATTATGGAAAGTTCCACAGAACAACAAAAACCAGCATCTGTCCCTACACTCAGAATCTGTACTCCAAGTATATTACTCATTTCATTCCATTCCATAAAATTTTGTCAATTTTTTTTAAGTTGTCCCATTAATTTTGACACTTTTTCTAAAGAATATCTTACTTTAGTTGTCCTATTGTTAATTTTCTCTCTTCTACATAAAACTTAATCGCACAATTTTTGCTTTATTCATCCCTGCGCCGATCAAATTTTATAGGACAGAGGGACTACTTCTAAAGTTTATCTTTAAAAATATGCCGTAGAGTCTTATAAGAGCATTTTATAGGACAGAGGGAGTGCCTCTAATAGTCCCAGAGGTCGATTGGTCGAACTAATACTCTAGGAGCATTATTGCATGCAATAAAAGTAAATGCTGCAACACTAATCCTATAATCTTATTTGTATGTAAAAGGGGTATTTTATTATGTACGAGTATTTGTTTATGTTAAGATAAAATCTCTAAATAAGATTAAATCGTAGAACATTTTTTCAAAGATGAGTAGCACTACTTTTTCCTCAAAATGAGACTTAGTTCTATGTAAAAATGTCTATTATTTTTACTTTCAATACTATATAAGTCGTACTCCGGGTATTTCGTAAATAAAACATAATGAATCTTACATTTGAGCTTTATTTATATTTAACTTCTACGTGGTATAATATATGTTAGTTACAAATGTCATTTATAAACTTCAATAAATAATAGCAATCTCACTAAGCTAGAAGAACTATTCTAGAAAACAGAAATTCGGGGTAGCTTTGTTAAATCTAGCGCTTTACTTGATCACATTCTTTTCCAAAGGTTTCCCTTTATATTCGTGTTATTTTACTTTAATCTTTACTTTTATACGTGGATTTATTACGGAGTATGATTCTTTTCTTTTGCATTAAGAACCCAAAGTGAATCTTATATTCTTCGGCAATCCACATGTGACCAGTGACAAGTCAAAAGGTGAGGGATTATGATGCTAAAGCATCAAGGAAAGAAATAAAAGTTTTTATCTTTCATTTATTTATTCTTAAAAAGATTATTTCAAAAGCATCAAAAGTGGGATTGCTGTGTTTCTTTAACGCAAATCAAAGCTTTGGAGTCTGTACCATATTTTGGATCATGGTCCAACGGATCTTGATCCCCCATTGGCTCCCCACCTTCGAAGAGGCCATAATTATTGACTAATACTCCGTAATACATTATGTTCTGATTCATGAAACAAAAACCAAATTTCTTTTCCGATGTATAAAAAAAAATGAAACAAAAACAAAAAAAAAAATGGATCATGGTCCAACGGATCCTTTTTTATGATGCTCTCTTTTATAATTATCATTATCATAATTGTTGTATTTTTTAAATAGTTGTTACTCCTATTTGTTATTGTTGTTATTATTATTACAAAGAAAATGGTAGCACTAGAAACGGAGAAAAGAATAAAGAGACCTCACCAAAATCTCTGTCTTTTATTTTTTAATTTATCCGAATGAATCTATAGTCATATATAGTCATGACACTTTAGTTTTTGTCTAGTTCAATTTTGGTTTTCGGACTGATCCAATAAAACTTTGACTAGTCTTCAAAAGACCGGATCCTAGAATAAGTGGCCGCCGTTTCGTAGGCTTGTTTTTGAGCTTATAAGCCTTACCGTCCTTTTTGTGTAAACGCTGATTTCTTGTATAGGTTAAATTGGATAATGAAGAGAAAACGAAAATTAGGGATGTTTTTGAATTTTGAGTTGGATAATGTACATTTCAGTTATTTCGATTACATTTAGTGCATTACTTTCACCACTTTAAGCTTTATCTGATAGGCTCTATAAATGTTTGTACCAAGTTTTGATATATTCTGATGCATTGCAATTTCACATACGGAATATTATTTTGTGATACGATGACAAATATAAATAACACATGGACACAGATATGACTTTAATTTATTGCATAGTGATTATATATAACGGCAATATGACAAAAATACATAATCATGGCCGGAAAAAATACTCTTATACAAGTGCCTATGTAAATACTCCGTATTTTGTGGTGTTTATGGATTCACTTTTACACTACAATGACCGAAGCCCCCCATTTGACTCGTACAGTGATCATAGTGACCTACCTAGTGATGCTTACAATGAACCTCCAATTATATTTTTGTGTTCAATTTTTGTTTTATTACTAATTTAGAAAACAATTGCTTTAATACAAGAAATAATTATATATTTATATACTACATATATGACTAAAATAAGAATTGTTTACAAAAATATAATCGTATAAGTACACAGTGGTCATAATAGTAACTTTAATCATAATAATTTATGTTCAATTTTTACACTTGAGTGATTATGAGACTATCCAAAAAAGGAAATTTGGCAAACCTTTTCGGGACGGAGGGAGTAGTAACTATCGGTCATATTTTTGTAAATATTGAAAAAAAAAATTAATATTATTTTGAGAAAGCCATTATTTTAGTAGCACTAATAAGTGAAATCTACTAAAATAGTAACTTAAAATTGTCGATAAGCACTACTAAAGTACTAAGACAATTCAATAATAATTACTAGTATATAAAATAGGAAAAAATGATTGTAATAATCCCAACTATTCCCAACTATCGATTATTTCTGAATAATCCCAACTTTAAGGACCTTCCGCCAATAATGAGCCATGACCTCATATTATCTGCTGTAACATGTGATTTTTTAATAGAAATTAAGCATAAAATTAAAATTTGGGTTTTTTATAGGAACAACATGTTATATCTCTTTAGAAACTATAGGAATTTATTTATAGTCGATCACGTCGGACCATTATTGGCGGAAGGTCCCTAAAGTTGGGATTATTAAGAAATAATCGATAGTTGGGATTATTATAAGCTGACCGCCAATAGTTGGGATTATTATAACCAATTTTTCCTATAAAATAATTATACTCAATTTAAAAAGAGAAAAAGAAAATAAATGTTAGTTTGACAAGTAATAACGTGTGTGACGAATAAAGTGCGACAAAGCGGCACTTTGATGTGATTATATTTAAATGCTATGGATCGAATATCCATAAATTCAAAGTTTGTACATGAAACTGATTCTACTTGATAAGTGCACACCAATAATTACAACTGTTTCCGATTAATTAAAAAACACAAGAAATAAATATGATATCAACAAATCATAAAGATACTAATTTAACTCCATCAACACCCAAAAAGTTCCATAGGTCCATAAGAGTCTTTACAATTTACATGATGACATTGGCCTGTTGAAGGGTTTGGTTTAATGATTCCCCCCACACGTTTTCCCCAAGCAATTCAAATGCATATTCTATTAGAAAGGATAAATCCCTTGTAAGGCTTCTCTCTAGTATTTTCTACTATGACATTGTTCTGATAATATGTGTACTACGTAAGAGGCCTAATGAATAAAGGGAAATATTTTAAAATATGAGAGAGAAAAGATCATTCCCTATATAGGAGTATAATATTTTTTTCCCGAAATGAGATTAGTCCATGTCATCCAAAGTTCATATTGTTTTATTATGATATTATTAGACATTAATATGATAATGTCACTACTATAATAGAATGGTATCTTTTTAGAATGATATTCATTATTTCAGTTTTCAAAAGAACATAAAAATTCTATTTTAGCAAATGACTAGTATCACTTTTACTTCTATTTAGAGCAATTTCTTATAAATAAATGTAAAAAAAATGCTATTTATATGCGCTGATTTACACGCCCATGTACACGCCAAAGGTATTTTGTCTATGCACAGACAATTGATTTTCATTTTAATAAAGGGAACTATATGTGATCTCGAACTGTTTATGCGCAGACAAAATTCACTTTTTTTGAGCCAAGAATTATTCCGTTTATTGAAATGAAAATCAATTATGTGTACCTAAACAACATGCTTTGGAAGGATGGGTAAGTGGGCATGTACATGTAGAATTTTTGATAAATGTATCACCATTAAACTCAACTACCAACTTTACTAAGTTACTTCATAAGTTATTTTTTACTCCATAAGAGCATGAGTGATGTAGCGTGTGAGTGTGTGACTTTGCCTAAAATAACAGTGACAGTACTGTGTATCTGCTTGTTGGGTTCAACAACGCAACAATGCATAGAAAACACACAAAAACAGCTGGCAAGTTCATTAAACAATCATAAACCTCACAATAATGAAAGCATGATTTTAAAACATAATTCAATTATTAATTAATTAATTAATCTAACCTTAATGACATCCTCAAACTCATCAGAGGGTGAGATAGGAGCTGTGCTATCTGTTTCTTCCGTGTGCGAACCATTATAGTGTTCGCTGCTATAAGACAGTCTTCCCGAAGTTAATGGCGATATTTCTTGCCCATTATGCATCTGAAACAGTGAAATCAACCATGTTTTAAGGAATCTTAATCAAGGAATAAACAAATACAAGAAATTTCCCTAAGTCCCAAAACGATTTGGAATTAAAAATAGACAAAAAAACTCCTATTTAGATAAAAAGATTACATTTTTTACTGTGGAATTTTCCCAAACATATAGAATGCTCCTAAAATTGGGCAAATATGACTCATGTATAATGAACAGAGAATGCGGTTAAAATACTTACAGATTGTGACATGATGCGTTCAAGCACGAGATGGGAGGTTACGGACGAACCGCCGAAGGAGAATCTGTTCCCGGAGAGACGCGCCGACTCGGACTCGCTGTCGCCGGCGACGGTGTTTTCCTGGTTGACCTTGGAAAACAGATACGACGCCGGAAGAGCTAATGCCCGGCAAACCTCCTGCATAGCGGAGACGCTGGATGACCTCGATAGATACTCTATGGGCTCTCGTGGGCTTTCCGGCAGTTTAACTCCGTCGGGTTGGCTCTTCTCCGACCACCTGAAGGAATCCATTTTTGTTCTTTGTGTTTGAAGGGGGGCTTACGAGAAATGACACGGAGTCATACATATATACAACGGCGTCACAGAAAGAGTAAGGGGGTCCACCTTAAAATAGTGTTAAAATAACTCCGTATTACTGAATTGTAAACCTCAGATTACTTAAAAACGGGAAGTCCATTAATTTGTATCAGTTGGGGGTTAAAACTTAAAAGTACATTATATCCTCTCCCCCCTAAAATTTTGTCAATTTTTCTTTTTTAGTTGTTTCATTAACTTTATCAGTTTCTTTTTAAGTAAAGAATTAATGATTTTAGTTAATTCCTTTTTCTCTACACAAATCTCTATCACACAATTTTTACTTCATTAGTCTTTCTCTCGGTCAATTTTTTTTAGTTGTTTCATTAACTTTATCAGTTTCTTTTTAAGTAAAGAATTAATGATTTTAGTTAATTCCTTTTTCTCTACACAAATCTCTATCACACAATTTTTACTTCATTAGTCTTTGTCTTAAGAGATGGGAGGGAGTATTACATTTAACATGCCTAAATACATAAACTCGATTCCGATAATATGGTTCCCATTATTACCCGAAGTTTGAATTGGAAATTAAGAAGATGTTTGGTAATATCCAAATCGGCTGTATTGGCTGAATCTAGTGAAATTTATGAAATTCTGATTGAAGTGACCGGATTGATTGATTCTACTAATTTATGAGAAAAAAAGCACTTCCCAGTTTTTGACTTAAAAACTAAAAAAAAGTATTTTCAAGTAATAATTTCTACTTAAATTAATATTTAAAAGTTAAAAGTTTGAATCTGCTTTTTACTTTTTCTATCACACAAAAAACACTTATGTTATCAAACATTATCAACTTTTACTTTTTAAAATCACATTTTTCTCAAACATTATCAATTTTTACTATTAATCACTTTTTTACAAATCGCTTTAAAAAGTTAAAAAGAGTGTTTGCAAACAAAAGTAGAAGTTCCGATTCCATTTGAAGGCTGCCAAGTTCTAATCAAGAAGAAAGGCTGTAAGTTTGTTCAATCATTAGAGCAATCATAAACTGACAAATACGTAACGTAGTATAATCTTATTTACAAATACCCCGCATAATCTTATTTACTTGTGAAAATTAAAATAAAACGTCAAAAGTGACACACTTATGTTATATTATGGCGGAGTATTTCTTCCTTCTAATTTAGAAAATGAAAAGTAATGGTAAAAAGTGAAAAATACCTGTGTGATATCATTGCGCCAGTATTTCCTTTCTTTGAATTTAACTTTCCAAGGTTGATTAACTCAATTATTTCAAAAAATGGTTGATTAACTCAATATATTATAATTAAAGATATAAAAATTTCTTAAATAAGAGTCAAAATAATAAATTTTCCATGAGTATTATTTGTGTTTCGACTTTTGTCATACTGAAATCTCCTGCCACTTTTAATATTATTACGATTTGGTATGAAAATATTAATGCATAATTAGAAGTCATTTCCAAGCATGCATAAAAATAATTACTCATACAGTCATACTTAAAAATAAAACATAATGCTACCATAAAAAACATTATGCTCATGCTTTGAAATTTCACTTTTACTATATTATGTGTAATTTGTTTAAAATAAATTAAAGTTCCAACGTATATTATAAATAATTTGGAAAAGATTTTAGAAATTTACTAAGGCAATAACTAAATCAGAATTTTATTATTTTATCCAAAATGTCATTATTTCCATATTTCAATGAAGCCAAAGAATCAATAATTGTTTACTTGAAGATATGGTGGAATAAATCAAAATTGTTCATTTAACTATTTGCGCTTCTTTATCATTAAACAATAGTTAATCCAGGTAATGTATTACGCGATTTAGCATAGAGATAAGGACGCGTACATTCGAGTCTTCTACTCTTTCTTAACTCACCGTAAGTGGGAGCCTTAACAGCCCTGATATAATGCATCTTGACTTGTTGCTGTATCCAAAATGCTCTCATGAATTTCACTCCCATTTATATCTCTCGATCATGAGAACGAGAAATTACATAGGACAAGATGTTAAATAGGAAAAGAAATTAATCTGTACACAATTCAATTCATAATTAAATGATTCGACAATAACAACAAAAATTGTTCAAGGTCATATCTATGAACATTTTGTAACGATTTTTTTTGGCTATATTATACAACTTTTTATTTTGTAATATTAGAATTCAAGTTAACAATAATATCATGTACGTAGTAGTTTTTATAGTTTCAACACTTCGGTTTCATACATGCTATTTAGAGTATATATATACATATTCTGCTTTGATTAAATTTTAGTTTTTATGTATAAAATTATCATAACAAATATTATAATTTTTTCCTAAAATAAAATTTCAATACATATTTTTATTAAATTAATTGTTATTCATACGTTCAATCGTTGCGCGCGGCTAAGTAAGAATGCACGGAGGTAGTAAGTAGTTAAAATTTATTTCACTTTAGAGTCTTGTGTATGATGATGCTTCTACTTTTGATTTTTGACTGCAAAATCCATTCCGAATGATAGTTTAATACTTTAATGTGATTAATACTCTTTACGTCTAAATGGTTTCAATTTCACGCTCACCAAACGTAACTCTTTTTCTTTGTATAAAGTATTTTGGTTATGAATAAATGGTTAAATAGTTCATGAACTTTTTAATTTATTCTCCTCAATTAGAGAATTAGTTTGCATAGTAGGGATTGAATTAATTATTATACTAGAAATAGGATATCGTCGTAACTTTGGTAGGGGATATGAGGATTTCTATCATACCAATTATAGTAATTAGCCTTTACTCTATTTTAGTTTGAAAAGTAGCATTACTTTAATTGTTTACTATCAATATGGGGTCTCTTGACTTATTAGGAGATTGTATCGCACCACTAAATCGTCTTGATTTGATTGAAAATAATAAAAATAGGTGCAAATTATTTATATACTAAATTGAGGAAAAGTGCGTTGTACGTGTGTTATACATTGAAAAAACTATTTATAGTTGCATACAGAACTACTTGGTGGAGTTAAGTATTTTGTGCTCTGATGGTATCAATGTGGCACTCCCAAAGAGGAGGTCACAGGTTCGAATCTCATCTCAATTCAAGGATGTTGGCATTAACATTGAACAGATACTATATAGGTTAAAACGAATTGTCCAAAAAAAGTAATACGACTATATGAGACAAGTCTTTCATCTTTTTGATCGACTGGTGTCTCTAATATAGAGATATAATAACAGGGAGTATTTAGTGTTAGTATATATCTAAGGGTTACATTTGATATTCTGCGAATAGAGGTGTAAACATTGCCAGATTTAAGTAGGAAAAAATGGTTAAAAGATTTAAATAACTCTAAAACAACATCTTTTTTTGAAAGGAAACAACAATATCTTCTTAAACCCTAAAGAGGCGTTACTTCGCTGCTAAGTCACAGTTAAGTTAGTAAGACAGGTGAAGTAAACACACATGTTGCTTAAAAAACCGTTTACTAACCGAAATAGGTGCTTAAAGTGCCGCTTACTAAGCGTACCACCCCTCATGTAATAATTAAGCGGCACTTTAAGTTTTTTCAGTTTCCGAATTTTCCTCTTGCTCTTACTCTTATTGTTACCCCCTACCCGCCTCTACTACCCCGACCCCATCCTACCCACTGCCTCCATACATCCTCGTACCTTACCCCTACTCGACCATTACCCCACCCCCCACCCCGCGTACCCCTTTTCCCTACAACAACCCTACCCCACCCCCACCCCCACCTCGGCCCCGATCCATACCCTACCCCTACCTCGGCCCCACCCGATCCTGACCCCCTTACCCTACCACTACCCTACCTTACCCCAACCCCACCCACCCCAACCTAGGCCCTTACCACCTTACCCCAACTCCATACGGCCTACCCCCACCACATCGGCCCCACCATATATCCTATCCTACCCTACCCTACCTTACCCTGACCCCAACCCCTACCCTACACTACCCCCTACCCCCCAAACCCTAGGCCCTTACCACTTACCCTAACCCTACCACATCGGCCCCACCCTGACCTCACCCTACCCCCCCTAGGGCCCCCTCCTACCCCAACCCCTTACCATATCGGCCCCACCCTAGTACCTTACCCCACTCCCTAACCCCTACACTACCCTACCCCCACCCTACCCCTACCGTACATACCCCGACCCCCACCCCTAGTCCCCTTACCACATTGGCCCTAACCCTAACCCCACGCTACCCCTACCCTAGGCCCTTACCTTCCCTACCCCAACACCCTACCACTACCACATTGGCACCACCTCGACCCTACCCCTACCCCCTTACCCTTTACACCCCTTACCACCCAATCCCAACCCCCCTACCCCCTACCATGTCGGTCCCACCTCCGACCCCACCCTACGTGGGGGTAGGGTGGGGTCAGGATCTGGGTGGAGCCAAGGTAGGGGCATCTGGTAGGGGTGGTAGGGGGTGGGGTATGGTGGTAAGGGTGGGGTTGGGGTTGAGATAGGGGTGGGGCCGAGGTAGGGGCAAGTGGTGTATTGAGTGGGGTTGGGTCGTGGTTAGGGGTAAGGGTGGGGATTGTGGGTAGGGTGGGGTTGGGGTTGAGGTAAGGTAGGTAGTGGTAGCCTGGTAGGGTAGGGGCATGGGGTCGGGGTAAGGTAGGGTATGGGTAGAAGTAGGGTAGGATAGGGTGTATGGTAGGGGTTAGGGGGTAAGTGGTAAGTGGGTGGGGTGGTAAGGGCCTAGGGGTAGGGGTGGGGTCGAGGACAGGGTAGTGGTGGGGTCAAGGTAAGGTAGGGTAGGAGTATGGTAGGTTAGGGTGGGGTCGGGGCGGGGCTGATATGATAGGGGGCAGGGTGGTAAGGGCCTAGGGGGGCATAGGGCGTGGGGTGGGTGGGGGTAAGGGGTTGGGGGTATGGGTACACATAATACTTGTGTTCATGAATGTTTGTGTGTCTATATATGTATAGGGTTATTTTGAACATTTTAATGCTAAACGATGTTTTAAACCTTTTGAAGTAA